AAGGTATAATTATAATCATCACATTACACATAAAAGTCTTGAACTTATGTCAAATCAAGAACAATTGCTAGTAGCACTAGCTTATGTTTTTTTTTTGTTTTTTTTAAAATTCTTATCACAGATATGGATTAATTATTCAACACACAGCACATATTGATATTGAACCACAATTTTTTGTTAAAATCCTTACAGATTCTTATGTAAGTACTTTTGATACAAAAATTAATTTGGTGAAACGTGGTTAGTAGAAGTGAAAGTAAAACTTTAAAAAAAATTGTGGAATCATTGGGTCTCCTCTTTGGTCAGTTTTTTCCTTGAACCGATTCTTTTTAAAAAAAACTATGCATGATTTTCAACTTGAAAAAACCTGGTCAAGATATATTTATCCTCATTTAGTCAATGAAATTCTTGTCCACACTTAAAGAAATATTTTGCAGTTTTGCTTTAAAGGATCACCACATCAGTTGACCATAGTTGTTGTTAAGACACTCCAGTCATGTCAGCTTTCTGGGGCAGGAAGGATAATTTAGCTGTTGTCCTAATAAGCATGCTAATTTGCCATTGTGTCCAGAATTAAGGCAAGAGATTTGTGCAAGCCCTAGTCATACTGATTCAGATAGGACTTACTAATCTTATGTTAGAAAAATTATCAACTTTATCCAGTGGTACACTGGTAGCCATGAGATCACCAATTATTGTATTTTTTCATGAACTTTCATTTTTATATGCTGACATCAGATATCTGTATTTTAATAAATTATAATATATTTAACAGATAAATGCCTTTTTTTGGGGTTGTTTTCCTTTAGCCCCCAAGTTATATATTTCTTCACATTAATGAATTGAATTTTTTTAATATAAATATATGTATTCACTCAATTAAATCTACCATATAAAATAAAAAGCTTAGAACTTGAGCTATTGAATCACTTGTTGACCACTCAAGTTTTCACCTCCTGATCAAATCTAAATTTCAGATGGATGAAAGGAAAAACACAAAAGCTACGCTTTAATTTTAAAAACAATAAGATGACAACCAAATAAAATTAATATAACACATTTGTTTTAGTGGCATGTTCCAACTTTTTAATGTATCAAGCAGATTTCTTTTTGTACAGAAATTTACAAATAAAAAATATAAATGAAAAATAAAGATCTTTTAAAGGGACATTTTTCAAACTAAGCAAATTAAACAGTTATTATCAAGCAAGCACACTTACATCAATGTTCATACAGTCAAAGCCTAGTAACAAAATGCCCTCAACTGACTGGTATATCTCAAGTGGACACATAAGGATTTACAGACACTGACCCCCAGACAACTATCTTCTGATAAAAATTAAAAAATTAAAGATTGAAAAACAAATGAAATTTTAAGCACCAATGTCAGATTGAGATCATTTAAACAAAGTTTTAAGGATTTATTTTTGGACAGTTTTCATTTAAAATAAAAACCAAAAAAACGTAAAATATTATTTTAACATTAGTGTAATGAAGAAATACTCACAAACACATGATTATTATTTAAGTCTTATGACTCATTTGACAGTAGGTTTTATTAACCAGGGGAAAAAAAGATAATTTTATCTTAATTCCAAATGGTTACATTTAAGAAAATGGACAAACGTAAAAATATTTTGATTCAGTTCGCAAAAAACAAAAAAAAAAACAACAAAATGACAGCTCAACCCCCAAACTAAAGCAGAAACAGATAAATAAATATTTTATAAAATTACAATTAATGGTCTTTTTGAACACCATACCAGACCTGTTTACCCCCAAACTCTTAAAATCGTACAATATCATCACAAAATCGATCATTACATTATCTTAATAGTAAAAAAATAAACATACAGTAAATATAATGTATACACCTCAAAATCGTACATTATACACCAAAATCGTAAGAGTAAACAGGTCTGCCATACAAACGTTTCCGGTTTGTGTCACAAATAAATATAAAGACAACACATCTGAAAGGTGAATTTTCTAATTAATCTACAGAAGTAAGGCAAACAGCTTATGCAGCGTAACGCAGCCCACAACATTTGAGAGTGCTCAATAAATAATGGGATAACTTAAAGGTGACTGATAGCTTTGATTTTGGCAGAGAGGATAAAAAAAAAAAATTTAAAAAGGAAATAATCCACAAATGTACTTATTTAAGCCTTAATCGGAAACCTTGACAATAATTGTAAAACAGATGTAAAAAGTAAGATATCAATTAAGTACTAAACCATCATTGTATCACTTAATGTATTAAAATATGACTGCTAGAATACTTGGGAATCTGGATAAAACACGCTCACAAAACAGAAATAAAAATTGGTGAAAATCAATACACGTTTCAAAGGATTCATAATAAATTTATTTACATACATACCACTTTCTCTTCCAAACAAAAGAGTGAAATTTATTTTTAAATTAAGAGAACACAAGAATGTTAAAAACAAAATAATTCTAGGATCAATTTAATAGTAATAATAATAATCCAAAACTCAAAGAAATAAGATTTTAACTTTTGAGCAAAATTTATAAGCAAAAAATGGTAAGGAAATGGGAATCACAGCAGTCTTTTTGATTAATATCAACTTATTCCTCAGGAAATCATTTTGCTTATTATTTTTAGCAAAATGGATTATCTTGATTTTTCAGTGTTCAGTTCATAAAATTCTCATGTAGTTTATAAATAATAATTACATTGTAAGCACCTCTGATTCTACTATATACAGTAAGTCTTGGATACTTTTTTTCAAACCATGAAAAGGCTAAAACACTATTTCAACCATTGTCCTTAATTACAAATAGATTAGATCATAAACTTTTACTTTGATTTATCATTTTAAATATCTTAAAAATAAATTTTTTTGCTTAAATATTATCTTCATATTAATAAATTAATTACCTTCCTGGATACACTGGTGGTATAAAAAAAGAAGCAACAATAAGTAAAAAAATTATTAAGAACTAAAATATATAATATTTAAACATGTTTCATATTTTAAACAAAAGTTTTTTCCCAAAATGAGCTAAGTTGTGCCTTCAATTTAGTACACAGTGCATAAGATTAAACATATAATGTTGAAATTAAACTAAAATGTTCAACTGCATAAAGAATACAACAGGTCCAAAAAATGCTCGCTGAAGCAGGTGATGAACACAAGAACATCAAATAATTCACCTCATAGAAAAAAAAATGTGGAAGAAGTCATGTAACTTTTAAAAAAACTTTTTATTCAGTTTTCTAGTACTTTAAAACACTCTGAAACTGCATACTTTATATCTATTAAATTAAGACTATAAATTAGAATAAAGCAAATGACTAGAATATAAACATAACAAACTGTGTGGACTAAAAATAATTCCTATAAACTTTTGCATATTCAATACCGGTACCTTTGAAACTAAAGCAAACAATATTTAATTTACTTCCATTTATCATTTTTATAGCCCTTTTAGAGCTAAGAGCCACTATATCTAGTTATAGAAATATGCAAGCTAATTATTATTGAACTAGCTTTTTAGGTAGAAAGTGACAGGAAACTGGTAGCCGAAAATTTAAGTACCGGTACTCTTATTAATAAAACATTTTTTTTTTAAATTCTTCCCAGCTAGAATGTTAATTTAATTTGAAGTGGTTCTTTAAATCTGCAACATACTAACATAATAATGCTTAAATTTTCTCATAAAATAACATATATGCCTCAGATGCCAGGACTTGCTGCTGGGTAACTCGGGTGACACTAGAGTCAGATGTAAACCACCACTTGACACCCAAATCACCTGCTCCTTTCAAAGTCTCATTTGCTGAATGAATACCACGACGATAGGCCACAAAATGACCAAGCTGGATGTCACCAATGTGACAGACGACAGCAGCCAGTTTGTAAGAGAAATCTGCAGAGCCTGTTTTGATGAGTTCCGGTGGGGCGTTGTGGTTTACATCACTCAGCTCCCTGGGGATTTGGGGGGCCCGCTGGGGGTGAACGAACAATCCAGTTCCAGTGAAATGCTGGTCAAAGTTCAACGTTCTTAAGAGATTGACAGGGGCTGATGTCGGTGTGGTGACTGGCTTGGCTGATTGACTGCAAAAAACAAATTCTGCCAGTTATATATTTTTAAGCTAAATAAATGGTAAATACATCGACACAAAAATTATTGCTAGGTGTTTATGGCTAAACAATACATTAACAAAACATAATTACCGTAGCTCTTCTGAACTTCACATCAACTGCATTTTTGGATATCACAGATTAAAAAAGAGTGAAAAGTTTCTATACTAATGGTCCTAAAGCCTCAATAAGAATAAAAAAGCTGGGTGAAAATTCTAAACTAATGGTCCTAAAGCCTCAATAAGAATACAAAGGCTGGGTGAAAATTTACTTTCCTGACCAGCATATAATAAATATCATGTCAAAGGTTACTGACCTGAGCATCTGTAAAGTAATGTCAACACCACCCAGAAGCCCATTTCTTTCCTCATGTTCCTTTCCTTGGTTGCAGTATAAGTACTGATCCATGTGAAGTGTCTCCGGAAAGCTGACATGATCAAATCGCTTGACTGGAGCTCCATTGTCCAGCCACTGTGTCCGTGGCAGGTGGATACACAATACTTGAGGAAGCTAAAAGAAAATTATATGGAAGAAAACATTTTTTAGGGGAATTTTATTTAATAGGCTTTAAAACAATCTTCAAATCTGACCGTATTTATTCTAAAATAAAGCCTCAGTACAGAGAAGGGGCTCTTAACCAGGGGACCCCACACCCTTGGGAGGATGTGTCAGTGAGAAGATTAGCAAATCAGGTTAATTTGCATTCTTGTAAGCATTTTTTATCATGTGGGGTGTATACATTTTTTAACTCTTTCGCTGCGGAATATTTTTATTAAAAAAATTTACATTTTTTTCAAAGAGCGGAAAAAGAGTGAGAGGTTGGGTTTATTAAAATATTTAAAATACTATTCTTTGGTTTATAAGACTAAACTTAATATCGAATGAAAGGTAATTGAAAGGACTATATGTTTGTAAACTTATTTCTTCACTTTAAATAAAATAAGTTACAGAACAGAACCATAAAATGTGAAAACATTTTATGCTAAACCATTATTCCCCAAACCCTATGATGTACGCATACCTCATCTTCACTTCTTTAACTCAATTCCTCTAAAACTACTACTATCGGAATCATGCGATGCATCTAAATATAAATCATCTTCACTATCAAAAGAAATAGTATAAAACAATTCCAAAGCTCTTTTAACTGTTAATCATCTAGTAAACCTACCTACTAGGGCCTAGGGTAGCCATAGCAACAGTAGGAAAAAAAAACGCGAAGAAAATCATCAAAATAATGCTTCAAATGACCACAAATAAACCTCGTTTTCGCTTTTAAACAATGAAGTACCACACTTCTATGTAAAAGACTTATTTAAAAATAGCTCTTAAAAAGTTTAACCGAGAAATAGCAAAGAAACAAACATGATATTGAAACAACGCATTGGTCCGAGCTTTTGAGAACGGCGGATGAACGCAATGTGCGTTGTTCCGCATCGAAAGAGTTAAAAACAAGACAGGGTGTTGCACCGCAAAAAAAAAAAAAAAAAAAAAAAAAAAAAAACCCAGAAAAAAGAGAAAAAAAAAAAAAAAAAAAGCTTTAATAGCCCTGGTATAGAGGGAAAAGTCAAATAGAAAATTTCTTATGGTGCGGATTTGTAAAAGAAGCAACTACATTATTTTCAAGGAGCAACCAATGTAGAATCTTCAAGGAGCAACCAATGTAGAATCTTCAAGGAGCAACTACTGTAGTATCTTTAAGAATCAACTATTGTAGTAACTTCAAGAAGCAACTAATTTAGTAATTTTTGTTGAAACAATCAAATGGTAAAAATGATTAGCAATGATTTTGTAAAAAAAATTTTCCGCAATAAAAATTATTGTCCACCAACCTTTCCCATTGACACTCTTTTCCTAAAGTTAGACTTGACAACTTCATGTTTTGCAATTTTTGCACAGCCCTCACAATCCACAGATTGCACAATCTCTGGAGTGACAAACTGATGTAGAAGACTGTCCAAGCTTAGAGGACCCTGGAATTGATAGGATTTTTAACATTTAGGTTAGGACTGCACTGTAGGGAAATTATTACGTTAGTGTGTGACATTGGAGGTTAATTATTGGGCTAGTGGGTGCTGGTTTTAAAAATACTAATTAAAAATTCAGCAATGCAATTAAAGTCTTACCCAGTAGTTCCTTGGGAATGTTAGGGTAAGGCTGTCAAATACATCATACTTCACAGGTGAGCGTGAACCACAGGACAGGCATTGAAGCTGACTGGCCAAGAGTCCTCTGGTGGGCTGCTCAACAATTTTGGTTGGCAATACAGGTAGAAGAACCTGGCTTCTGGTCCTTGCCTGCATGTCTGACTGGTAAACATTTTGGGGATCCTGCGGAGCATATTATAGCATGGTAATAGGAAATTTATCTGATTCTTCCTAAGCACACACATAAGTACACAAAGGTAAGAGAGAGGGAAGGGAGAGAAAGGGAGGGAGGGAGGATAGGAGGAAGAGAGAGAGAGGGCAAGGGAGGGAGGAAGAGAGAGAAGGAGGGAGATAAAGGGAGAGAGAGAGATGGGGAAAGGAAGAGAAGGAGAGACAGGGAGGTCAAAAATGGAAGTGAGAGAGGGAGAGAGTGAGGAGGGGGGGGGGGGGGGGGAAAGATAGAAAAATGATAATTAAATATATTTGTGTGTATTTATTTATTTAATCAGCCCGGACCATGTGCAAGTATTTAGCTTCAGCAAATTAGCTTTTTAAATCTACATGCCCAGACTGAAATTTATTAAAATGAAATGCAAACAATTAAGATTTCAAGCAACTCATTAATGGCATGTGTTTTGAAACTCTAGAAGAACATTTGCCTTAATTAAATAGAAGATTACCTGTAAGTGACATATATCAAACAGGGACAGTACACTTGGGTAACGGGACGTCTCCTCTTCCAGTGTTTGTGTAAGGACATGGAAAAGTTCATGCATGTCCTGGAAGGAGAGAATGGAGGGTATTAATGTTAGGATATTGTTATTTCTATTTACTGGACCTTTAAGTCTCCCCTGGTTCAGTTGCTCAAACAACTTTAATGTTTTTGGGGGGTTTTTCTGGTTATTTGAAACCTATAATTTGTGATATATTCCAATTTAATTCTGAATGAAAACTGCAATTTGTAACATCCCATGCATTTCTACTCTTTTTTTTTTTCCACATCTAGTCTTCCAAAATTCAATCAATGAAATAAGACAACCATTAAACTAAATCCCTAAACAATTTTCTGAGAGATGGCAGCTGACTTGCAGAACTGTCATGATTTGATGGCCCCTTGGCAAATAAATATTCCATTCAAACCTGCTCCTCTGAAGAAATTATCCATCTTTTTGCTCTCAGTGCATGAAACACACTACTTGGGTTGTATGGGTCTGAAGCATCCTCCTCTTCATTGTTAAGTACTTTAAGATTAAAAAGAACAAAAATCATGAATTATAATTATGGTAAGGAAATTAGTTTAAGATTATGATGATAAACTAATGCTAATTATATATTAAGTAGAATCAAAAGTTTTCAGGGTTTTGTCTTAATTCAAGCTTGAAATTTTGATTACAGCCCACCCCCCCCCCTCCCCCCAAACCATATACCGGTATAAAAATATCATAATTAATTTTCCTTATGTGGTAAGAGTTTTGAGTGGCTTGTATATTGCTTTTATGTAATAACCTACCAACTTTAAAAAATCTTCTTGTTCAATTTGGACTATATTATAACTATCTCATGCTAACTGTATTTTTTTTAAATGACAAATTTCGTTTTTTTTAAAAAGTAAACACACGTAATTTAAAATATAAATACAAACCTTTTAATACTTTAAATATAGTACTAGTGAGCAGTTTATCACGAGAAGCCGGAGTGCTGACCAAAGAACAGCGCAGCCAGCTGTACAGTGAGGGACATGCAGCCCATGATTGCAGCAGTGAGTTCAGGAAACAAGAATTCCCAACATTAACCAAGCCGCGGCACTTATCTGAAATAACAAAATTTGACATGGATCAAGTTTATTTATTTAAATCATCATTCTGATCCTGTGGCCATTTGGAGAATGTCATAGTGAAGAGTACGCAGGTTTATTCTGTGTTGTTTTGGGTTTCAGCATAGGATTTATTTTAATAGAAGGGAGGACTGTGTTCAAGCCATGTGAAGTAAATAAGTAGTAGAACAAGATATGTTAAGGCTTGAAAAAATTACAGAACAATTAAAAGGACGCTTAAGCTATATTCCCTCTTCAGTAGACAATACAAAACAAGAAAAAATTTTAAATTAAAAACTTAAGTGTTCCAAGATCACAATGTAGCTCTCTCTGTCTCTGTGTAGATTTATTTTAAGTTTAAAAATATTGAATATTCAAAACACATTATTTTAATTTTTAAAATACTGAATATACTGAATACTGAACAAATCAATTTAGAATTTTTAACAATTTTTTATCTACACTGCCTAAAATAAAACTGGACATACATTTGACTGGAACCTTAATAATTAGAACTTGGGCCATAAGAGATAGACATGGGACCAAAATAATTAGAACTAGGTTAAGGGGGTTTAAAGAAGAGAATTAAATTTAATAAATATGATATCGATGTTCTGTTCACTAATCCTAAGGTGTCCCTAAAAAATAATATTAATTTAATTATAATATTACATAGCTAGATCAAATAAAATGTATTTATAATGCATAATAATGTTAAAATTTAAATTTAATATTAGAACATTTAATAGCTAGCATAAATCCTGAAAATAAAAGTTGTGTAGAACTATAATTTAAACAAGATTTTTAGCACATGAGGCAATCAGCAGAATTGGGTCATAAAATGAACTTGCACTTAAAAAAATTCATAGTTCAAAAAGTACTGAAGCTAGACAGTTTATTCTGGTTTAATTTTTTTTTTTACTTTTAGTTTGCTCTATATAACTGTATAGTTGCCAGTTATGAATAACATATTATTTTTCAAATTGAATGGAATTGGGTAATCTTACACTTGAGCATCTTTTATGAAAAAATCATGTTGTTCTGGTTTGAAGCGCTTTTTAAACGGTTATTGTTTTATTGATATGATAAAATTCTTTTATTGATCCAAATGAATGGAAACGTTTTTTTACTGCATTGTACATATTCAATTCAGAACATAAATAAAAGACAACATTTTTAAAACAGAAAATTTAAACCATTTAATAATTTATCAAGTAGAAAAATTTTAACAATTTAATTTATGAAAAGAAAACACAGCTTGAGTTTATATCATTTCCATGAAAACATTTGCGGGACATGAACCCATCCAAATATAAAGGGAAAACATCATGGCTTGTGTCAAACTGTCTTTTCGGTTTGCGCTTTGCCTGCATCCACATATTTTCAAAAGTCTGTGTGTGGACTTGGATTGTTATTTGTCCGCCATTTGGATTGACAAAATTTTGTTGATGAACAATAACAGAGTGTATGTAGATTCAGTGCCTGATGTTATAAGTAGCTCATCCTTCTTGGTGCAATTAAAAAAGCTTGGAAGGCAAAAATCTTTTAAAATCTTTATTATTTTCCATACAGCAGGGGTGGGAAAACTACAGCCCGCCAACTGTTATTATGCGGCCATCTGAGGCATTTAGAAAGTTTAAAAAATTAAGTTATTTTGTTGAATTTTACAGAAGTTCATTTACTGTTATGAGTGTTTTAACATTTTTGATCCACTTTCTTTCTTATTTTCTACTTTCGTCATGTAATGCTAAAATGCTAATTTATCGATTTTAATATAGAGAAATGTTTATCGACATGTAAAAAATTGGACATAATATACATGCTGCCCCCCCCAATAGCTTTACATTTGTCAATGTGGTCCTCCACACAAAATTTTTGCCCACCCCGCCATACAGGGATGATTCCTTAATTTAAACAATAAAATTAGGTATCATACTTTTTATTTTACCACTTTCTATATATGTATTTTAGTCCCATATGAATATGACAAAAAATTAGTATGTCATTTATTTTAAGTTAATAGTGATATTTCACAAATCAACACATATTGTTAGAATCAACTTTGGCGGTTGATAGAAATTAAAATAATACTTGCTTGAGGTAAGTATACGTTTTTATGATTGTTCTTATATGTTTGTAAACTTACTTCTTCAGTTTAACTAAAATAAACTGCCACAAATGACATCTGAATAGCTTGAGTCTACTAAACCAATAAAGCCATTGCTATAAAATTTTCAATACAAACAGATGATGTACATCTAAAAATAAGGCACATTTAAAATAAATAAAATACAGATCAGAAAAATTTGTGCACTTTTAGAAAAAATATTTCATGAAAAGCAACCGCTGCTGAGAAATTATTACATTTAAATCCATAACTTTTAAACTAATGAAGCTACTGCAATCAAACTTTCAGCAACAATAGATTGTGACAATCCAAATGCTGATTCTTTTTCATTGTTGGCAAATCAATAAGGGTGCCTTGAATTCGGGTGACTGTGTGGTCGAATGGTCTAAACTGACGTAACCTCAAGATGGTGGTCTTGAGTTCAATTTCAGCCAACGGCAAGCTATGAAAATACGTTAGTTGCTATGCTTTTTCTCGAGAATGAAGTAACAACTAGGCTTATTGTTTTACTTTTTTTTTTTGCTAAAAAATGTTAAAACATGAGAAGAATTATTAACTTGACCAATGTAATGTTAATAATGTTATACTTATAATTATCAAATATATGTTTGTTTTGTTAACTAATTTTGTGACAGATAAAATCATGTTTCACTGGTAAAATAATAAAAATAATCATGGGTTGAGAGTAGCAGGAAAAAAAAATCGCTGTAGGGGCAGGGGTTCTGTAGAGGGGTCAGTGTAAGTAATACTTTCACACAGTTATAGTTTTGCATGGAAGCTGAAAACTGTTACATTTAGGTCATCAAAAAAAAAAAATCATAAATGATAAAATTTAAAAAAAGATAAATAGAATGTATTTCCTAAATTAGTCAGTAAAACCAACCACACGGACATAGTCATAGCAACATATAAAAACCTAATCAATCAAAATACATGACTAGACTTAGACCATGGAAATGCCTTTAAAAAAATCTAAGACTTAGGCTTAGACTCTAAGAAATGTAGACTTTGACTTATACTTATAATTATAATATATAAGATACAAGCAATAATACTAATAATAGTAATAGCACTAATACTAATACTAATACTATTGCTATCATCAATTTCATTATTAATTAAAATTAATTCAATTAAAATTTTACGTTAAACACATTAAAAGTTCTAGTTCAAAACAACCCATCATGCGGCTAATTACGCATAATACTTTTTTTTTTAAATTGCCAAACAAGCGATTGATAAACCTTATTTGGCTAAATTCCCAGCCGACTGCGTATAACCCTGAGAGTTATACGCAGTCGGCTGTGAATAACCCTCAGGGTTATGCGCAGTCGACTGCGTATATCGACTGCGTATAACCCTGAGAGTTATACGCAGTCGGCTGTGAATAACCCTCAGGGTTATGCGCAGTCGACTGCGTATAACTCTCAGGGTTATACGCAGCCGACTGCGTATAACGCTTCCCTTTAATTTATAGCTGTTAATAACTTAGAACTAGAGACTATCTTACTATTTCATTGTCGTCTTTGTTGTCTTATTTATATTTACATGTATTATTGATCCAAAGCATGTTCTTATATACCAACTATATTAGGCCTAAAGTGTAATTATTATTAAAAACCAGTTATGAAAAGTGTACAATTATAATCTAACAACTAAGTTATAATGCGGGAAATATTTATTTAGCTGTTTCTAAAAAGTTTTAAATAATAATAATCACTGTTTACATTAGCGATACACCACTTCCGGTAGATCGAGTGGAAAAAAATGGCCACGGCTTGGAAGCCTTGAATTTTTAGTCACAGCGTCAGTACTCTTTAAATAAAGTGCTTCCACTTTTAAAATATATAAACTATGTGTACAAGTAATTTCCAAGGCCGAACAAGTTTTAAATAAAAAAAAATAAGCATAGTGAACTCACTTACCCAAATCAACTTTTCAATTGATGGTCTCAGCGTGGTCGGATCTCCTATATATTGATACCCCCGTAACCGGCATGCATCGCGGATTCAAATTAAAATAAGGAAGTTCCTCTATTTTTAGAAATGACGCAAAACAACGCTAAACACTGACATCTACCGAAAACGAAAAGCGCGAGCTGATCACAGGCCATGTCTTTCTACCGCTGGCGGCGAAAGTATTGGAGTGCCTATACAAGCATAATAAAATTAGTTAAAATTCAATAAATATGCTGGTTTTTTTTGTTTTTTCCTGTATAAATAATTATTTTCCCAATTTTTCTGTTCACTTTTTTCTGAACATACCCACAAATAAATTTATAAAACATAAAAAGTCTTAATGTTCTATAAAAGTTATGTTGTTTATTGTACTGTATGTAGTATATTGCATTGAGAATGTCTCCTGAAAATTTGGTAGCATTATCTTTTAAAATAAAAAAGTTTTGGGTAAAATAAGGCAGAAATTTTGAAAGTGGGTCACACGTTTTTTCAGTGAAATACTAAGATAAAGAAGGTTTTTTTTTTTTTTAAATCACCAAAAAATCATAACTACACTTATATAAAAGATAGAAAGATGAAATTGGTGTTGTTGTACAGCTTATAGCTATCCCGTTAAAATGATGTATCAATTCTATCATTCATGGCAATTGGACAATATTTAAATTTTGTGTCAAAGTACCTAGTTTATGGAGCTGTGACTGTGACACTGTGAGTTAGTTAGGCTTAGTCAGTTAGGGGATGTACAAATGACAAAGAAGCTTTAGAAAGAAAAAAAGAAAATAAGCACTGTATAACTCGGTATAATTCAACTATCACTGCCTGGATATAATTTATTTAATTATCAGACATCACTCACTCGTCATTTTTTTCAATAAAACTATACTATAGACCACAATAGTATGCAATAATAATCAATATACTAATACTAATAGTACTAATTACTAATAGACTACTTTTTTAAAAAAATACCTTTTGGACGCTTCTTAGAAGGTCCCCATAATATGTAGGCTCCTGCTGCAACGGCGGCAAGAAGTGAACCACCAAAAACAAGAAATGAATTAAATTTATAAAACATTTGTAGCTTCGTTAATATTCACTCCGAATAAAATATTTCGATAAATTGGAGTTGACGCAATCACTCAGTCTATGTGTGATCTACGGACCGACATTTTGTTTCTAGAATCCTAAACTTTAAATAACAAAGAACCATTAAAAAGCGTTTATATATACATTTAAACTTTGTGCTTGAAAGAGTTCCAATTTGAATTAATTATATATATACATATATTATTCTTTGTATTTCTTTTGGGGTTAACCCTCACATTTTCAACAATTGCAAACCTAGTTCAAAATCTCTAGTATAGAAAAATAGATCTCAATATTAATAAATGCGCATAAATGATATAAAATAATGACGATTCGGTCTCTTTATTTAAAATAAAATAAATATAGGCTTATTTGGAGATATACTAATTAATGTTCCAAATGAAATCCTATTAAATATCGAAAGTAAAAGTTACGGGCACAAATATGTGCCTTCGCTTCTTTGTCAAAACGTCATATTGCACACATGAATTAATAATAAAATATACCTTGAAATGACTGGACGGTTTTGCGCACATTCTTATTTCAATATAAATGAAAGGACTGCTTTCAAGCTTAGTAAGTGAATGAAATAGCGAAACGAGGTATGTGGAAGCTTGAAATAAGATAACAGGACAAAAAACAAGGACGTTTCGGCATAAAACCTTCCTCAGTCAACAATAGAAATGAAAATATAATAAAATATATCTTTCACGTCTGGCTGTGAAGTTTGCATACTCTCTTTTCATTTATTTATCTTCAAATGCTGCAGTTAAGGAAAGAAAATTACATAATTGATCTGTTGTTGTAAGAAAAGCCAGTGAGAAACTGAGAGTTGGACTCATGAGAGGATGAGAGAAGGAGTCGGTTTGGTTGGGGGTGCGGGAGGGGGGTGATCAAATGAATTGCAATAGAAAACGAAATAATGCATTACATCCCTTTGATTTCTTGAAATAGAAGTCAAACAGGCAACTTGTTTTGTATACAAAGTTTTTTTTTAATAATTAGACACAACTGATTATGGTCAACATTGATAAAAAAATTATACAGTTTAATTTGCCGAGTTACATCATTAAATAATTAATTATTGAACATATTGAGGATTATTAGCCTTCACCATATTTATTTGGTCCACCAAATACCTGGCACCCAGTTGAAAAACTTGTGGAACAGGTTTTAAACCTGGTTCAATGGAACAAGGCGTCTAAGGAATACAGTTATGAATAAACAAACGTTCGTTCTATTTTTATCAACATGTTAGGTATTTGTTTTGCCTTACTAGTCGTAGGGTTGGGTTTACACACACCGGTCCGTGCTCTTTACATTAGGGTGGTGCAGAATTAGAAAGTGGATTTTCTTATAAATATTGGAATAATGAAAGAATATTCATAACAGAAAAATCTCTAATTATTCAGAGGATTGTTCTTAAATTTGGTTTATATTATTAAGGCTTATTAACGTAGTTGATACAAGCCAGAGGTAAAAGCAATCTTAAACTTAAGGTATTTTTAACTATCAAACTCAGTTATTGCAATTTATATAATATTTCGTTGTAATTAAATTATTAATTTTTAAACAGTTTTATTTAACATTTTTATGAGAAGTACTATTTAGGCATATAGGTATACTATTTTACTTTTACTTTTACATTATAATTATGACTTATATTTGTACTGTTATACTAAGCTATACTTATCAGCAAGTTTTTATTGTAAACTTAGACTTAGGCCTGTCCAGGTGTCAAACAAGCAAAGACATTCTCTAGGGATAGGGACCCAAGGGTGTCTCCCCCACAGAGAGAAACAACTTCACTTTTTAAAGCTTTTAATAATAGTAACATATTCCAAATTAGACCCATATTTAGACCATTATCAAAATGATGTACCATGCACCTTCATTCAATCTTTATGTTCCGACTGGAGCTTGAGGCAAAGCCACAGAACCACACTTCTGTACTCAGTCTTTTTCTTTATGAGCTTTCTGTATGTTCAGGTTTCTGTACGCTGGTCTTTTTCTGTTGAGTGTGGTAGCCCCACTGTGCCAGATCTCTTTGGGTGTTCCATAGTTTCATTTTCACTGGGATCTCTAACGTAGGGCTGTCTTGGGAAGTGAGCTTGAAACCATAAATTAATTGATTGCTTTTACTTTTACTTTTACTCATTTTATTTTTAAAACAGTTGTTTCGGGCCACAATGGGGAAACAGTGGCTCCTCATCTTTGTGACATATATTGCAATATGTCAAGGCCAGAACATTGTGGAGCAAGTGTGTTCAGCTGATAGAATGATGACACAGCTAGATTCATCAAGTGCAAATGTTATTATTGGCGGTCTCTTTGAAATTCGAGAAAAAGGGGCTGATGGCTTGGGATGTGGAAAACCAAACACCGGTACTGCATCTTTCATTGAAAGCACTTTTATAATTTAAAAAGCAGTAAAATTTACTTTCACTTAATATTAAATCTCAAAATTATATTTAGGATATTCTGTATAAACATAATTGCAACCTAAACACAATAGTGAGGGAACTCTTTCTGAATAGAATATAAAATATAAATGAAACAATTCTTTTTCAAATTAAATTTGTTTATTCTTTGAAAATTAAAGTGTAGTTTTCATAAAATAATTACTTTTAAAATAAAAAAGGAATATTAATATGATCTTTTTATTGAACATCTCGTTGTTTCTTTTTCAGCTAATATGCAAATCTTTGAGGCTGCCCGGTATGCCCTAAACTTGTTAAACAACAACATTGGTGGAAACAGATACCTTAATGGTATCAATTTTGGTAAGTTGATAAGTTGATATATACCATTTTATAAATTTTATTACTAAAAAGAACCATTTAAAAAAATTAAATAGATCAATTCTTGATAATTTTTCTAATACATGGTTAAATTTATGGTTATTGTAACTACTTTTAAAAATGAAATACTTTAAATAAAAGATAAAGAAAGGGGATAGTGGGGAAAGCAGACCTGTTTACTCTTACGATTTTGGCATACAATGTACGATTTTGGGGTGCATACATCATACATACTGTATTCTGTATGTTTATTTTTTGCTATTAAGATAATGTATTGAACAATTTTTTTATGGTAGTGTACGATTTTAAAGGGTTTGAGGGTAAACAGGTCTGGGAAAGTTGCATGGATGTTGACTTGGAATCGGGGTCCATTCAGACTTGTGGAAAGCAAATAATCTAACACAATTTTTATATGCATTTTCTGACTGCATGAAAATGTCTGCATTTGTTTAAAAAATAAATATCATAAAAATGTATCTTCTTGTTATATAAAGTACACAATCACATCACTGACATCATTTCTTAAAATACACATGCATACAGTTTTGTATGAAAAATACCATATTTTCTTGTATACTCTCCTGCTAAAATTTAACATAATTTATGCTTTACCTGGCAGATAGTCATGTTCACCTTGTTATTATCTGTTCAGATTTTTTGAATTATTACAATGAAATTATGGATTTCTTTTGCTTATAAATTTGAAGTTAATCTGCGTAAGTGCATATTATTTACAATAAAGGAAGGATATGATGGACTAACAAAAGTGTACAGTGTGCAAACATAATGAAACTATTAAAATAATTTTTAAAAATCTTCTCCATTTAAAAAAATTAAAAAATATGTTGTTATACATGGTAAAAATGACACATAATGACTAGACATTTTTGTTGCTGCCCTGTATAGTATTTTCATATTAGCTAATGTGTTTCTTTCTTTTGAATTACAGGTATGATTGCCTATGATACATGCTTCTCATCAACACTGGCTATCAATGCCCTTCAGGCGTTATATCCCCAGTCCACTTCCAGCAACCCTTTTTGTCAGACTCAAGCAAATGCTCCAGTGGTATCAGGTAAGTTTTGCTAAAAAAAACATTAAAACTAATTTAAAGAAAGGATAGAAGGAAAGAAATATATAGATCTCCATGACTGTCATTTAAAAATAATATAATATATCTTCTTAATATTATCTTATATATAGGTGGGGTGACAAACTTTTACCCCTAGAAAATTTAGATAATTTCAAGGACTGGTTAAAATTTTTTAAACCTTTATTTTTTTTTTGGTCCGTTTAAAAAAGATAAAACAACATCTTGTTGTCCCAATCATCACTACATGTTCTTCGTTTATATTTAGAATATATAACCATTAAACAAATTGATCACTATTCAGTCTCTTGGTACAAGGATTAAATATATAATGTCTCAGTTCCTTTTTTTTCCAAACGTGTCTATCTTTTAACTTTCTTTACAAACATCAATTATTAATAGATAATTATATATTTAATAAAAATACTATATGTCTTAATTATCCATCATACCAGAGTGTCCTTTTTAAAGGTACTGCATTTTGGAACTGGTCATGAGGGTTTCATAAACTAAAGCACCATTGATTTCACACTTTAATCTCTATTTCTACTTTTTCTACAAAATGATTTTGGGAAAGGAAATCACATTATTTAGTTTTTAAAAACATAAATATGCTTCATTGTTTGTGACTTATGTACAAGAAATTTTTTTAAATCTTATTGAAACCAACCAACTAATTTTGAGATGTTTTCAGAATATTTGTTTTGAAGTTAAATACAAACATGTTGAGTCTTTTTTCTTTACTCTAGGAGAACAAAGGCTCTCTTCACTATGATATTAATTTTATCCCCTGTACAGGCATCGTTGGTCCTCTGTCCAGTGATACTGCCAACACGGTTGCAGAGCTTGCTGGTCAAATGCCAGTGAGCATAGTGTCTCCAGCAGCTATGGACCCAGGCCTCAGTGACAAGGTCAACTATCGTACATTCCTTAGAACTACGCCTTCATTCACTGGGTTTGCCAAGGTATGTGTGTCAAGGTTTTTTTGTTTTTTTTTCAAATGCAGCTTACTTGATAGAATGCTTGCAGTATAACTGTTTCAAATGAACTGGATATTTTAAGTTAACTAACACAAAAAAAAACAAATGGCTTAAATATTTTTTATTTTTTTTAAATTGATTAAATACTTGGGGTTTTCTGTTTTCAGGCTGTGGTTGAACTACTAATACAGCTTCAGTGGCAGAATGTCTTAGTTGTTTATGTGAATGATGATAACGGTCGCAGTGGATACGGCGAGCTGCTACAAGCCACTTACAACAGAGGTCTGTGTGTGTCCAGCGCTCTGGTCCTTGATGACAGCGCGGACAAAGCAACATATAAAGCAGCTTTAAATGGGTTTGGTTTCAGTGGTTATACAGCAGCCATTCTTGTGGCAACTAGTGGGCAAGCACAAGTTATCTTGGATGCTGTAAATGAGGTAAAGTGGCAGGTTTTTTTTAATACTAAAATAATAGAAAATGACAAGTTTTTATATTCCCAAGAAATGTATCATTTTCATCTTGGGTTCACCAAGAAATGTATAATTTTCATCATTGAAGAAAGAATTTCAAAAGCAGGGTATACATTTTCAAGTGTCTTTTATACGTGTAGGCACTTTTGTGCCAGTTACGAGTTAAAAATCTGGCAGGCAATGAGTCTCATTTGGAACCACACTCATATTTACATAATAGTGCTGTATGAACATAACGGGAAATTAATAGTCAATTTCAGCCATCTAATATTTTGCAATAAATTTATGTGTAAATTCTTTGATCATCTTTACTGGCTATTAACAATTTTAATTACAGCTATAGTTTATTAAATTTAAGGGGGAAAATACCTAGATTTAATAAACAGTTAATATCACATTGTTTATCAGGTTCCTGCGGCAAACAACGTGCAGTGGATTATCAGTGATGTGGACTTGACTATTGACCAGAGCACACTCAACAGACTCCGAGGAGCAATGGTTGTGGTCCCCAAATTTCCATTGATCACTGGGTTCAGGGACTACTTTATCAATTTAGAAACAAACCCTAACAACAATGTTGGAAACCCTTGGTTTAAAGATTGGTATGTAATGAGATAACATGATAGGTTTTATACTTCAGTTACACAATGCTTTTTATATTTAACTGCTAGAGTAGATTCAATTGCTACGCTTAAATCTTTTACTTAATCTCTTTACCCGTACAATTTTGGCGTAAAATGTACAATTTTGAGATATCTTTTACAACTGTTCGCCAAGGCCTGTCAGAACTATGATTTTAAGAGTCAAGGGTTGAAAATGTATACCTTCCAATAGTTTGCTGATTAAACAAAAATTTTTTTCGGTTGTTAGTTTTAGCTCCTTTCTATATCCAGATGTGAATGGATTGAGAAATACGATTGATTGAGTACCATAATTATATTAAATTTTCCCTGAGAAAGGAAGAGGAGTGTGTGTGTGGGGGGAGGGGTGGGATAGATATTTAAGTCCATACAAATAACACAGCACTGTTTTTGAAGGGATGATGGTCATATTGTTGCTTTGTGTTTTCATAATGAACTCCCTAGATATGGCAAGAGTAATGGCAGCGTAGTCGCCCTAATGACAATTTTTGTAAATCCTTGCTTTTGTGACATAATTATTTTGTTTGGCTGAACTGTGGCTGGTGCCAATACTGAGCAAACTAGTTGTTTTTGTTTGTTTTATAAATGAGAATGCATCCTCAACTGTTCCACACAGCAACACAAGATTTTAAAATATTTTATAGGATCTGAGAGGGCCTTTGGAATAGATTTTTTAGAATGCATAAAACAGCTGTATGATTTTTACTATCCCCGTTTGGTTCCAATATTATTTTTTTGTTTGTTTAAAAAAAGCTTTTTCCTAAAAAATAAATAGCAAGTTACTAGGGAGGTTTTGCAAATTACATCCTTGTTTTTTTTTTTTTTTTTTCAAGTAAACTTTTTTTTCTTAACTTACCTTAAATTTTTACCCCATTTAAATTTTTCCGGTTAAATTTTTTTTTTTTGCAAATTACATCCTTGTTTTTTTTTTTTTTTTTCAAGTAAACTTTTTTATGCTGAACTGACTTCAAATTTTTACCACATTAAAATTTTACCGGTAACATTATTTTTTTACAGTGACAATCTGTGATAATGTGATTGCACGTTCACAGAAATATTAATTGATATCTATAGCAGATGAGCAAAGTTACCTTTTTTTTTACACCAGCTTAACTCAATTCCACTAGAAACGCGATTCGAATACAGTGAAACCCCGCTATGACGCGCTCCGCCATAACGCAAATTCGGATATAACGCGGTCGTAGCATGGCTCCCTAAATTTGAAATTCATTTACTCCATCAGGCCTAAGTTCTTTGAAAATTTTATCCATTGCTTGGAAAGCGTGGACAACCCACGCGAAAAAAATTACAACTTTTCAAAATGTCGTAGAAAAATGAGCCCCTAAACGCACCACTTTCAAACTAGTATCAAAATTAATGCAGAAAACGAGGCTTTCTTCCGGTAGAACTATAAATAATAGTATACACGTATAGGTTCTCGGAAAAAAGTTAAATATTGTAAAACCGCGCATTAACGCAACCCTGCTTTTAACACGATCCGATTTTATGGACCCCGATCATCGCGTTATAGCGGGGTTCCACTGTAGTTACTGTATGCTTATTTATTAACTATTAAAAAACTGTATAATTTGATTTTGAGATGATATTGTGCGATTTTAGCAGTTAGAGGTTAAGCAGGTTTGCTAAACTGACATTCTGTCTTTTGAATATGATAATAAATTTAAACAAAAAATTTCTAAATTTATGTAGACATGTGTCTCGATTTCAATTTATAAAATGTACAATTTTGAATCCATTCTATTTCCATTGAAATTATAATTGAATAAATAACAGTTTTTCCTTTTATTTTTTAGATATCTGTCTTTTACACTATTTTTTGTTTTTTGTAGGTATGAAGTGACCTACAAATGTTCATTAACAACAGCAACCAACCAGTGCACTCTTAAAAGCGCAGCTACCCTTGCTCCAATGTTTGTACAGAATCCTTGGGTGGTCCCCACTATCAAAGCAGTATTCGCCTACGCCCAAGCCATAGCTACCATCTGTACAAACTCTGGATTTTGTTCTAATTTGAGGAACATGAATGCCTTAGCCTTCCACAATGTGCTTCACAATGTAGATTTCACATTCCCTGATAACTTCCTGGCAACTGATCTGAGGGGACAGCGCATAAAATTTGATGCCAATGGAGATCCAGAAGTTTCTGACTTTAGTATTTACAACTACAACAACAGGCTAGGAAGTGGATTTGTCTTTGAAGAGGTTTGGAACATTTTTTATCTTTAGTTGCATCAATTTAAAATTATCTTAGACTCAAATTCTCTTCTTTCATTATTTTAAAGTTGAGTTAGAATTAATTTTACTATGTGTGTTTGTATAAAATTTGCTGAAAATAAAGTCACAAAGTTTTAGATCAATAAAGGAATGTTCTAAGGGCTCACAAATTTTAAATGGCATAAATGAGGCCACACCAAATTCATTTAAAAAAATGAGTTTATAGAATTCATCCCTTTTATACTTTACTTGTAGAATTCATCCAGTGTCATAGATAACTTTTAGAATTCATCACTTTTATAGATATCATTGAAATTTTTCTTCAGGGCACCAAGTTATTAATTTTGATGCTTTATTTAAATGTATACTTTATTCATGTTTTTGTATTAGTTTTACTATTTAAGAGAGTATATTAGTTTAATTAATTTTACCTCTGGTAAACAGAGAATTAATGAATTTCCACTCCATTATCAGTTAACATGTCTATATAAACCAATAAATTTAAACATAACCATAACTGATAATTGTATGTAAAATACAGTTGTTTTAATTTTCCTTCCAAAGATCGGAAGTTTTACATCTAACACCTTGACACTTACAAGACAACCCACGCTGTATGATGGCACAAGATCTTCTGTTTTACCAACCAATCCCACTGCCACCTGCCAAACCCTTGGTTGTCAAAGCTGCTTGTTGCCTCAGCGCTCTGTCACCTTCCGATATCAACCAGCAGATATTGTGATTGGTTCCCTTATCCAGGCACATCAGTCTGGGCGTGTTCCATTCACCTGTGGCACTGGCATAATTCCACGCCTGGCCTCCCTTGTAGCTGCTGAGTGGGCCGTGTCCAGATATAGGGACATTAATCCCAATAAACTAAACGGTGTAACCCTTGGGACTTTGGTGGCTGACATCTGTCCTGACAGCTTTGTAGCAAGAGGTTTCCTTACTGATTTGCTAAGTGGTAACAACCGCTTGGTGGATTCTTCAGGGAACGTTATCACATCAGAGACTATTAGAGCCTTTGTTGACTTTACAGGTAACAAATAACTGTTTTTATCTCACACACAAGTAATTTTTCAGAGAGAGAAGTACCAGTGTTAATGTGTACTCTCTAGTTACCATTATTTATAACATTATGGAGACTGCTGTCAAGCCATATGACGGAAATATATTATAGATAAATAGTAACTTTTCCATTTTGAAACTTATTTCCTTTCAAGCTACTTGACATTCTTAGTTCTTGTTCACCGAAGGCGGGCTTAAATCAAAACATCAGTTTGTTTAAACCCTCTATATATCTCGTTCCAAATTTCACATGGACAATATGAATAGTACCAGAGAGATTTTAACACAAATGGAAATCATTAATATTTAACTAGATTATAGCAAGCTGAATGCACAATCAATTGATTTCCCTTTATAAACAAAAAAGAAAAAAAATCAAGAAAAATACTTATTTTAAATATTTAATATAGTTGTGCAAGATCACAGCTCAATTATTATTTTTTCTCTCACAATTTCTAGAGAGTGATGTAGCAAAGTCTGTCAGCCCGATCTTGTCTAACTATAACATCCCCGAAGTGCAAACGGCTGCCACCACACCCGTTGTGATGAATGGAGGTATGACATCTTACTTCAGTCGAGCCATCCCCAGTGATGAAGTTTTCTACAAAGCTATTGCCAGTTTGCTGCAAACTGTTGGATGGAAATATGTGCAGGTAATTTAATTTTCTCATGAAAATTTTCAGCACTTAATTTGTTTCTGTACTTCTGGTATGTTAAATTATTATGTAACTGAGTGGTGAAGAGATATAACTGAGTTTTAAATGTATGTGTATGTATGTATATATATATTTATATATATATATATATATATATGGGTTTATAAATTTGATAAAATGCAGGTCTTGTGGACTATAGCCTTTATTTTGTTCTATCAGTGTTGTATAGACAGCAGTGGTAGAAGAAAATCCTAAGTAAACGTTTGAAGAAAATGGATCCTTAAAAAAAATTTGTAAGAAACAAGTTCCGTCTTTAAAAAAAAGGACAATATCTGAAAAGATACAAATAGTACATAAGTTAACAATGTCCTGACTAACATTGAATTAAACAGCTAACTATACACATTTTAAATAACTCGGTAATTATAGGTTATGACAAAATGTACTTAACTAAGAATACAGATGTTACACAAATGGCAATTAAAATTATATTCTTGTAATATGTTTCATTTTAAAAGAAATCAAGTGGCACTGTATAACTTGTAGCACGTACACCATCTTACATTCAGAATGAGTGTGAGATGTGAGGGCTAACATACAGGTCTAGAAATGACTATTGAACTGTCGTCCTTGTATTGTTTCTATGTAAGATACACCCACAGAGGACAGTTACTACAATGGTATAAAGGATGACCACTGTTAGGTTGATACATGTTGTCTCAATCAATCGCTGCATCATTTTAAGACAAGTGCATCACAGAATGTCTAATTATATTAATACAGCTGGTAATATAATCCTAACACATGCACCATTTCATTTGTGAGAATTTAGCACATAGCAGGATAGTTAGCCTACTACACATATTTTACGTATATTCGCTAGTTGGACACTGTTGTATCAGTCAGTTATGAGCACATTGCATTAATGTGTTACCAGAACAATATAATAGTTGGTGTTATGCTCACATACACTCTGATATCTAATTCCATGCAAAAATTCGGTGGACAGCTGTATGTCCATCCATCACAATATCATGGTAACAAGTCAAATTGACGGAACTAACAATTGATTAAAACAATTGATTAAAATTGAGTAATGAACAGAAATTTTCCAATACTAACACCTAACAATTGCATTCAATAAACACAGACATATGAAGGTGTATTTGCTAATACTTATAAAGAGTCCGAATGGGCCGCCAAACAATGGCGCTTTTTCGGGAAACTACTAAAAGTTTTGAATGCCAAAAGCCCATTCTCGGGTGCATAATAAATAGGGTAGCTCCAACATCCCAGAGAGCCTCTAAATAACATATAGGACAGGATGGTCTATTTCTTGACTTCTGGCAGATTTCCTGCTGTAAATTGACAATCCTTGAGACTCCAACCAGAATAAAAGTCAAAATCCTGGACCAAAACCCTAAAGACTTCAATATGTCTGTTCATGTTTTGTCTTGGCTAACTTATTGACACTTTTATAATTATATAAGTTAAATGATCTTTGAGATATTTTAAATGGAAGGGCTCGGGGAACCTAACCCCCCCCCCCCCCCCCCCCCCCCCCCCCCCCCCCCCCACCCCCACCCATGGATGAATGTGAAAACTCCCTTAATTGCTGAATATTAATGAATACTACAAAGATGTAAACTTGCAAATCAACTTTCCAACATATATCTTGTTAGCATAATACCCTAGGGTTGCCGAGAAATAAATAATTGAACTTATACAAAAAGCACAAAAATGATTTCCAAATATTCAAGTATTTAACACCAAGGTCAGATTCCACTACAGTTTTGGGTGGTGAACAATCTGTTTTTGTAAAGCATGACCTACACTGCCACAATTAGAATTTAAATTTGGACAATATATGTATATTATTTTTACTATTTCAAGATTTGTTGCTAACAATTCACCAATGTTATGAAAAGGATTAGATGCACACAAAAAGAAGAAACAACCTCAATGATTCAGATGGACAAAATTGTAAATGCACCATTTTTCAATGTACAGGTAGCCACCCGATCCAGTGGAATATATCAAGAAATGTATCAGACTTTCCTCAAAGTTGCTGCAGAGTGAGTAACATCAAAATTGTATTGATTCTCAGACTTGGTTACCTTATACAATTTTGGTGTACAATCTACTCTTAGAAATATTTTAATGGTTGCAGAGTTCTGTCAGAAATACAATTTTAAGAGACCCTGTTTAAAAAAAAATATATTCTTGATGTTTTTTATTTAGTAGTGAATGGACTGAGTAATATGATTGTTTGGAGACCATCCATACACTGCTTTCACACTGAGAGGGGAAGTGGTTTGGTGCTGATTTAGGAGATTTTGCTTACGGCTGTGCATTGGGATGGGGTAGGGGGGTGGTGGAGGTATCTTAATATGTAATAAAGACTATAAAAATAAAACCGCCACATTTCATGGTGATGGTGATGAGCGGTCATATGGTTGCATTGTGTTTTCAACATGGACTCGCTAGATATGGCAACAGTAATATTTAGCGTAGTCCTAGTGAAATTTTAGTAAATATTCGCTTTTATGACATAATTTTGTGACATAGTTATTTAGTTCAGCTGAACCCCGTGCTTTTGAAAATGAAGAAAACAATTATTTTTTTTAAAATGCATTCTAAATATCTCCCCACAACAACTTTAGATTTTGACACATTTCATGAGATCTAGCAATCTATGGTTAGAACTCGCAAAACAGCTGTACAGTTTCAATACACCCGTTTGGTTCCAACACTCCTCTTTCCCCCTTCAGTTTGTGGTAGTTATTAGACTATAATAATATCTTAACTGGAAATAAAATCATATTATGCGTATCAAAATAACAGATTTTCTTAAATATCAGTCTCAAGTTACTTGGTAGGTTTTGCAAATGACCTCCTCATTTGTAAATTAATTTTTTAATTGAATTAAAAAAAATGTTAAAGCTCAACTGACTTCAAGTTTGAACCACGTTAAATTTCTGAAGTAACTATTATTCTTGCCAGTGACAGACTGCAACAATGTGTTCTGCACTTATGCACACATATTACTTAATATCTATAGCAGAGTCACACAGTGGCATAGCTAGGTTTAGTGCCACCCGGAACAGGCCAAGATTTGTGCCAACCCCTTCCTCAACAAAAACTCTGCATTTTTCCCAAAAATGCCATTCCTCAAAATAAAGAGATAAGTGCAGCCCGGGTGGACTGAAAGAGATAAGTGCAGCCCGGGGTGGACTGAAAGAGATAAGTGCAGCCCGGGGTGGACTGCCCGTCTGCACACTCTTCCTGAGCCACTGGATACCACAGATTGAAATTTAATTTATAAACCCCGACATTCTACATTTGAAAGTGACCTTTTTTTACATCAGCTTAACCAGACTCGACAGGCTGTGCTATTTCTTATTTTATGCATTTTACTATATGTTTATTTATTTACTATGATGCTACACGGCATTGTGCAATTTTGAGATGGTTTAGTATTATTCTGAAAAGATGTTGTACTATATTGGGAGTTTCAGGGTAACCAGGTCTGTATTCTGGTTTATTTGTATAATCAAGTATTTTTGTGAGTCTTCTAATTAAAATTCATCAAAAATATTTTAAAAAGTTATCCGTTACAATAATTTAAAAAAAAGTGGACACAATTATTTCTAAAGTCAGTATCCCAAGGAATTAGTACTCGTACCTCTCCCCCATAGACAGCGACGAGGCCATGACAGGCAATTCAGGCTCATACCAGCAAGAAGCCAGTATAGGAGCTGCTCATTCCTGCCCAAGACAATCAGGGACTGGAACAATCTTTCAAAAGGAACGGTTGAGGCGACAACACTATCTGTGAAATTTCCTCATCAACACCAGGAACAGAAACATTGCAAATCCCATCTACATGCATAGGAGCCAAAATGATCAATAAATTGATCGTGGGCCCTTAAGATATAGAAGAAGAAGAAGAAGAAGAATTTTTCTCACTTGGAACTGTCTATCATGTATTTGTTTTTTAAAATATTTTCTGGTCACACATCACTTGAAAACATAAAAAAAAAGCTTTTTATTAAACTGGTTGTGCTGCGAGGCATTGTCCTTTTGAATTTTTTTTTAAAAAATCAACGAAAGGTCAATCAACGAAAAGTCATTGAATTTTTTTTCCTTCATTTTTTATAGACCTTTCATCTGTCTTACACGTATGTTGCCCCATTTCTTCTCAACGCTCTTTACTTCAAGATGACACCTTACAATTAATAATTTATCTCAACCATTTTTTAACGTCTTGACTAAGCTCATTTCATAGATTATTCAAAAAAGTGTTTCTTTACCTTTTTGAAAGTTAAGAACTTTTTTGAATGTGGATGTAACATGTTTTATCGAAGGTATATTTTGTTTCAGCTATGGCATCTGTATAGTCAACACAGTCGCAGCCTTTGATAGTACCAGCACAACACGTTTTGACACTATGCTTGATGCACTGCTCAGTAAAACACAAACCCAAGTGGTTGTTGTCATTGGTAACCAGAATGATGTTAGAGGACTACTGACTTCCATTGGAGCTAAAGGTAATGAGGGTGTCTTTTGCATGTTTCAAAGTAAAATTTAATCATTGACATAGAGTTATCTACTTTGTAAGCACAATTTGTTCAAAGGACAATGTAAGCTATACATTTTGGGAAATTTTCTTATTAATAAATAAGAATTAACTCTTGTCTTTTGTGTAATCTTAAAGGTAAGGCGGGTCAGTTGCAGCTGATAGCCGGTTCCGATATGTGGGCCAGGAATCCAGAATATGTTAGAGGACTAGAAGCAGCAGCTGCTGGATCCATTGTCCTTGACCTGCAGATGAGTGCTAACACTGATTTCATTGCAAACCTTACGAGCCTATCAAGGGCACAAATCCAAGCTCACCCATTCATGCGTGAACTCTTTGAGGTCTCAAATATGTGCTCATTGGATACCTCTACCAGGGGTCTTTACAGCAGGACCTGCACAAATTTGGATGTTTTCCCCAACAACCTTTATCAGGTAACTCAAACTCTGTTGGAATGTAACATGATACCAGGCATATATATTCTCAAGGGTATGAGAATCACTGTTGTCATGTGTGATAGGGAAAAGATGTTTAGTTAGAGACTTTATGTGTAGCTGTATATACTGTGTGGGAGTGTTGTGACATATTTGTGTAAGGGGAAATGACACGTTAGTTTTCTTTGTTGTTATGGTAGATAGATGGCGGATGTGCTATATTGACTGTTTGGATTTGTGTATTGCTTGTGTAGTATTGTGTTGGAACGATTTGATTGTTGATCTGAATTTAAGTATCAACCATAGGTCGTGAATTTTGGTTAAATAAACTTGTGTTTGCAACAAACCGGTTGATGTTTATTGTATTGGTGACTGTTGCTGTCTAAGGTACTGTCTTGCGGAATGAAGTGAAAGACTTGGCCCATGCAGGTAGACACTCATCGCCATGAGTGGATGAACACGACACAACAGGTTCAACGGTTCGACATATATGTACATGAAATTATGAACTGATGAGCTTTGCAGTAAAATAATTAAAAAATTGGCTCATCAGTTGATATCTCAACAGAATAAAAGAATAGGGTTGATGTAAATGGAACAGATGGTTAACATTGTTTCAAACTGAAAAAATATTTTACACTCTGTAAACTATTATTATTATTTTTTTTTATATATGTCAGGGCAAGACTCCATACGTCATCCAGAGTGTGTTCACAGTTGCTGATAAACTTCATGAAGTCATCCAGGAGGTCTGTAAGAATGTCAACTACAGTGGCTTGTGCTCAGATTTCCGTTCAGCCACAGACATCGGCCTGCGCTTGGATGCCAAGATACAAGACACCACAAAAACGGCCACTGGTTATGGTATAAAGGGTGGTGAAGGCATTACAGATTATACTTACCTTGTGTACCAGCAAGGAGCTTACACATCCGTAAGAAATATTTGTTAATCTAGTTCAAACTATTTTTTGCTTTATTTATTTATTTATTTAGGCATTTTTATATAGCGCTTACCATAAAGCTCTAAGCGCTTTACAATTATTAAAACATGTAAACTAAGTAAATACAAATGAGACACTAGGATAGTAACTACTATTCTATAGAAACAATGAAAATGGCTATAAAAAGAGGACACTTTGACACTTCAGGATTAAACCGAAACAGAAAATTAGGTAGGGCAAGGAGGGTGCATCACAGGTCATAGGCGGACCTAAACAGATGAGTTTTAAGGGACTTTTTGAAAATGGACGAGGTTTCACTATGACGTATATGGAAGGGGAGCTGGTTCCAGAACGTGGGCCCATGGAAGCAGAAGGAGCGTTCACCGATGGTCTTAGTTTTAGTTCTTGGGATTGAGAGGGTTCTACTGTCAATGGAAGAACGTAGTTGTCTTGTGGGGATGTAAGGAAGCAACAGTTCAGAGAGATAGACAGGAAAGTGAGGGTCAGTGAACGAGTTGAAGCAAAGATTGGAAGACTTGTATTTGATGCGAGAGGATATTGGAAGCCAGTGGAGTTGCCGCATGTGTGGTTGAATGTGGTCATGTTTCTTTAATTTAAAAATGAGTCTGCATGCTGAGTTCTGTGCCTTCTGAAGTTTTTCTATGTGGTGTTGAGGAATGCCTGAGAGAAGAATGTTACAGTAGTCAAATTTTGAAAGAATGAGTGAAGAGACGAGAGTTTTTGTGGCATCAAAGGAGAGGAGGTGTCTAATGGTGCTGATTTTTCTAATTTCGTTATATGCTGATCTGCATATATTCGTGACATGTTTGTCCATGGAGAGGGTGTCCGTAAGCGTGACTCCAAGGTTTCTGGCAGAGGGAGAGAGTGTGATGTCAGAGTTGCCAATAGATATAGAAGAAGGAGCGAATGGAGGGAGAGGTTTGTTTTGAGAGTGGATGAGAAGGATTTCCGTTTTATCATCATTTAGCTTCAGTTTGTTGCAAGTCATCCAACGCTTTACATCGTCCACGCACTCCTGTATGCGAAGGATTGTGGCATCAAGTTGATCAGGAAAGCAAGGGTCACTGATTTGAGTGTCATCTGCAAAGGATTGACTGGAAACTGAGTGGTGGCTAATGAGAGATGATAGAGGTTTAGTGTAGAGGATGAAAAGGACCGGCCCAAGGACCGATCCTTGAGGAACTCCAATAGACAGTGCTGAAGGTTTGGAAGAGCGGTTGGAAATAGAGACTTTTTGAGTTCTGTCAGAAAGATATGATTGAAACCAGTTTAAAGCTGAGCCAGTAAGTCCGAAAGAAAGATGAAGGCGGTCAAGAAGAATCTGGTGGTCAATGGTATCAAATGCAGCAGAGAGATCTAACAGAGTGAGAATAGAGAGTTTGCCATCGTCCATCGCGCGCAGGAGGTCACTCATGACTCGGACCAGTGCTGTTTCTGTGCTATGACCAAGTCGGTAGGCGGACTGAGAGGAAGGATAGAGATTGCGAGAATGAAGATAGCCAGAGAGCTGAGAGAGTATGAGTTTTTCTATGATTTTTGAGAGAAAGGAGAGGTTGCTGACGGGGCGGTAATTCTTGAGTGTGTTTGGATCAAGTGAGGGTTTCTTTAGGAGGGGCAGGACAATCGACCGTTTAAAAATGGGAGGGAATATGCTTCTTAGCTTTTGGCTCCTGTGTTCTTATATTAATATCATCAAAGAATCACGACGGTTGTATAACTTTTATATAAAGAAGAAAAAAAACAGGGCTTACAAACATTTTATAGGCCTCAGTAAAGTCTGTTATTTCCACTCAATCTACTGAATAAACTCCACAATGCTGTTACATTTCCTTCACACATTTTTCTAGTTGTAATTTACCTTGTGAGGGCTTGATGCATTTGGTGAACTTTCTCCAGGAGGCTTCAAATGTAAAAAGTTTTGAAACTGATTATAGAAAACTATTTTTTTTTAAATTTTTTTTTTTTTTTGGTACTTACAAAAAATTTTTTTCACCAAACGTTTAGTTTGGTCAGTTCAGTGCAGAAAACCAGAGGCTGACCAGCTTGACTCCCGCAACTCTTGGCACAAACCAGAACAAGCCCTCAATGTGCGGCGGGGTCTGCCTGGAGTGTCAGTATTTGTTTAACATGCAGAGGGGTCTCTTCAGCAATGGTGACTGGCTTATTGCTGGGACCTTCAGGTGAGACTGACCAAAAGTCAAATTGTTGGCCATGTTCATTTCATTGTGCGCTTGTTGAAAGATCAGTGCAAGTTTTCTTGAAATGATGGCAACGTATCAATTTTGGGCCACAATAAATATTTCATAACAAGCATCTGTAATATGCATATATAAGTAGTGTTATTGCCTTCTCCTCATTTAAAAATTTTAAGCTACTCTTTATGTTGTCACTGTCACATCTCCTTTACTCTTTGTTTAAGTTCTCACGGTCACATCTCCTTTACTCTTTGTTTAAGTTCTCATGGTCAAATCTCATTTACTCTTTGTATAAGTTCTCACGGTCACATCTCCTTTACTCTTTGTTTTAGTTCTCATGGTCAAAGCTCGTTTACTCTTTGTATAAGTTCTCATTGTCACATCTCCTTTACTCTTTGTTCAAGTTCTCATGGTCACATCTCCTTTATTCTTTGTTTAAGTTCTCACTGTCACATCTCCTACGCTTCTGTGTATAATTTAATGCCGCTGTTTTGCTATATTCCCCAGTGTAAGTGATCCTGGCCCTGACCTCCTCCAGCCTTACATTTGTGGTGCCACCAGAATGGCAGATGGTCCACAGTACACAACGGCCATGCTTTTTGCACTGAATCAGGTCAACAATGGATTAGCCCGCGTTTCGGTTCCTGGTGTTAAGTTTGGTGCGTTTCTATAAGTATTTAATTCTTTACTATTTGCAAATTTTCAACGCATTTTTTAATGGAAAATCTTCGTGAAAAGAGGGATATAGTAAATAAAAATGATTTTTTCATATAAATATAAACTGAGGCTAAATTAAGTTAATCCAGAGGTTCCCAAACTGTGCACTGCCCCTAAGTGAAAATCTTGTCTTTAATTTATAGTGCACTTGTTAGAATTTGACGTAGGGAGCACTGACTTGAAAATGTTAGAGAATTTCTGAGTTGACCAATTCACAGTGGTGTGGTTGTATAACAAAACCAGAAGGTAGCCGCTCAAGTTCTCCTGAGTGCCTTCTCTCCAGATGTATTAAATTTTTTTGTCTAAATCGCATTCTCTAATATTGTATGTAAGCAGAATGAATATAACCCCTGCCAGATAATGAACCAACCACAGTAAGATCTGCATTCTAAATATCTTTCATTTGTTTATATCGTCATTCAGGTGGACTTGCACTTGATCACTGCGACAACCCAGGCCGCGCCAACCTGATGGTTTCAGGGATTTACTCTGGATACATGACCAACTCAGGAGTTGACCAGAGCAAGATACTTGCGTGGATGACAGATACCACAGCCAGCACAAACGATGCTGCAGCCCTTCTGGATCCATTAGGTATTTAAAATTGAGAGAAAAGCTGATTTTTTTAATGCTATTTCTTTTTTTCATGGGCCATATGTTTTTGAAAACACACATTAAATTTTTACTTTAAATGCATTTTTAAAATTTTTTTGAATTGTGACAAATTTATTATTATTTTTTACCAACGTACGTTGAGAAAGATGCAATTAGAAACATTACTAATTTTACAGATTGTAAAATTGAATTCAGAGACTTTAAAAGTAGAAGTCTCTTGTCAGATGTCACCCGTTATCAGTTAGTTCAAACAAATTTATTTCCATAAAATTTTACAGAGATCCAAGTTCATTGGTCTGTCTCCTCTAAAATGCTTTATGATTGCAAAGAGTTGTACACTCTATGCATTGGTTTGTTTCTCAAACAGGTGTAGCAATAGTGAGCCCTTCTGCAACAGCAGCATCTCTGATGGAGTATCCTAACTTCTTTAGGACCATTCAAGGGGACAGAACCGCTGCCCAAGCTCTTGTCAAGATTATAAAGACCTTTGGATTCCCTTACATCCAGGTGATTCACTCAAGTTTAATTTTTTATTATAAATTAAAATATTCTAGTTTGTCATCATTTAAATAAAATCAGCTGTTTCATTGAATTTTTATTTAAAATTTAAAACTGTCTGGATTTATTCTGTTATTTGTAATGTAGCTGGATAGATGGCTTGGGCTAATTGTAATGTAGCTGGATAGATGGCTTGGGCTAGTTGTAATGTAGCTGGATAGATGGCTTGGGCTAGTTGTAATGTAGCTAGATAGATGGCTTGGGCCTTTTTTGCAAAGACGGCTGATTTTTTAAAAAATCTTACGTCAAGGTTGGGACAACCCCAGAACCTATTTCCACTTATTCAATAGGCAAAATATGTTACGGACCTACAATGTCTTATAGGTTTGATTTCTTGTCTAACTACCACAGTCACTATTTTATGTGTCTTTTAAATGTTATTTTTAAATTAGATTTCTATATTTTAGTTTTTGTCCAATCTTGATTCAACTAAATTGCAGTGTGGAGGAATGTTTCCGACTGGGTGTCACTAATTTAATATTTTAATTATAAATACAGTCATTTTGACCATTTAAATATCCAAATGAGATCGCCTTCTGCCCTACTGGGCGCTGTTAATACCCATGCTAAATGTTATCAACAGATGGTGCATGGTGCCAATGAATACGGCCGGGGAGGTCTGGAAACTATGAAGGCTGTGACCCAGTCTGAAGGAATTTGTATTATCAATGCCCAAGAACTGTCCACCAACAACACAGCCACGGTGTTAGAGACAGTCCTGGCAACGGAGACCCATGTTGTGGTTCTCTTCCTGGAGAGCGCCGACACAGACAGGTTCCTCACTGCAGTTGCAAATCACAACGTCGCCAGAGCCCGACTGGTCATTCTGATGCCTGAAATGTTCTCCAAGGTATCAGACTAAAATTTGTTGCTGTCTTCTGTTCCTCCTCCTATTGAATTTGATGTTCTGTAATTTGGAGGAACTTCATTGCATTGTTATCTTGCAAAAATAAGTAGTCTTGTCACCTTTAAAACTAATAAATATTTAGCAAATAATATCCCTTGCAATTTAAAGCCACAATTTTCTCAGAAACACTCTACAAAACTTAGATATGAAATAAAAACTGCAGTTTATAAACTTTTGGGGCTGTTGCTTTTAAGAATATTGCTTAAAATGTTAATTAAACCACGTAGCCACAGAAATAGTTCAAATATATAACCTTGATGTATTCTTCAGATAGTTAAAAGAGTGGCCAGCAGTATGGCCAAGCCAATCATCAGTCTGAGCTTACACAGAACTACGCTCAGCAAATACAATGATTACATTAACAGTTCCCCCATCAGCAATCCATACTTCGCAAGCTACTACATGAAAGTCAAGAGCTGCAATTTGCCTGGGTACTCGATGTACAGAACGCCCTGTGCCACCCCGCTCGAACCAATCACCGGCGATTCTGACTACGAAGAGGACAACTACGTCCTGGCCACCATCAACAGCGTCTACGCCATAGTGAATGCTCTCCACCTCACCATCAGAGACATTTGCGGACAGTACACTACGCCGTGCGCTCAGTTCTATACAGCAACGGACAAACTGAAAAGATTCAACTTGAGGTTGAAAGATGCAAATTTCATTGATGAAGGTCAAAACTCTTTCCGTTTCCTTGATAGGGAAGGCAACACAGCATATGATGTTTGGCAGAGCACCAGTTCTGGGGACTATCGGAAGGTGATTGAATAAGCCGTCTTGGAAATATTTATATATTTTTGTTTAAAAATGCCCTGGGTGTAACTGCAATCCAATTTTAGCACATATGGTAATAATTCATACAACTGAGAAGAAATTTGGCTCAGTACCATATTACAGACAAGAGCTTTTATGCCATTTCAAATAAGAAATCATACGTTTAATATGAAATATGTAGGCTGGTGGGCAAAAGACCTCAGAACAATACTTTTAACACCTTACTCACTGTTGTTGCTGCAGAAAATAACCAACAAAATAATTTCAAGTTGTGTATGACTTTCTTTTCTGCTAAAACTGTACCATTAACAATAAGATTTCAATTTCTATCATTCTCATGTGAAATGATGAATTCAATTTTGAATTATGTCAAGGATGCGCTCTTTTTTTGTTGTTAACAGATTGGAACTTACGGGGGTGTGTCATTAGATCTCCTGGACTTTAGCTTATCCTCCTACCCCAATGTCACATCGACATGCATCTCCCCATGCTTGAGCTGCATCTTGCGAGGGTTGACTTTCTCTCACACACCGGGTGATGTGTACCTGGCTGGTGAGTGAGCGATATGCACTGAATGGTTATCTCATGTCAATTATGTTATCTTAAGAACGTGGTTCTCAGCCTGTGCATGGTGACCCATGTGAACGACCCTTACATAGGGTTCGCCTAAGACCATCAAAAAACCTATATTTATGAAGTAGCAACAAAAATAATTTAACGGTTGGGGGGTCACCACGACATGAGGAACTGTATTAAAGGGTCGCGATATTAGGAAGGTTGAGAACCACTGTCTTATGACAACTTTTAAAAAAAAAAATGGATTATAAATACTTATTTATTATTAAAACAGTATTTATTGTTTATGGAGCCATCGTTATTCAAAAGAGCTCAAACTTTTATTAGAGACTGTTAACAGTTTTAATTAACTGTATTTTTTAAAAATTAGTGATGTATAAAGGTTTTTTTTTCAGTTCATTTAAAAATACTTTGTTGTCAACCTGAATACATGATATTACCTTATGGCCTTTTGATTTATTCAGTTCAACTTTATTTTATCAAAATAAAAAACTGTAGACAATCAGGTTATGAAATTGACATACATCAGTTTTTTTTTCATCTTTTTATAACATAATCGAACAAACAAAACCTTTAATAATTTTGCCAAGGAAAATCTTTAGAGGATCAACACTTCATTTGATGTTGAGCATAAATATCATAAATATGAAAAAGAAATATATTCTGGTAAGCATTTTTCACAAATTTGAATTCATTGCAATTTAAACTTCAGGTATGTTTGATGTACACCAGCGCTCACTGAGCCCATTCACCTGTGGTGCTATCAACACCTTACATGGATTCCTCTTACTGGAAGCTTTTCATTATGCCATCAAAAAAGTCAACGAAAAACAGGGACAGTTTGCTAACATACTAACAGGTACCAAACTGGGTGGCATTGGCCTGGACGCTTGTAACTCTCAAGTCAGGGGCGGCTATTTGGTCAGCAATATCCATAATGGGCTCACCTCCCTTGCCCGTGATGGTGTGGTGATAGCACCATCGAAAATTGACACCTATATCGGTTCCTATGGCAGCAAAGCTTCCATTTACCTGGCTCGTCTTTTGACAGATCTTAAGATACCACAGGTGAGAAAATAGTTCTTCATTAGTTTATTGTTTAGTCTTAAAAATCATATTTTTACAAATCAACTTGCATCTGCCACCACATATTAACATACAATGCCTGAAATAAAAATTGTCTTATAGAAGCATTGAATATCTTTTATTTATATAGTCAGAATTGAATTTTTTTTAAGGGTCTATTGCATTCAATATATTTCTAAATTTGTTGTTTTGAACACACACACACCACCCCCCGCCCTCCCCCAATTGTCCCCCCATATTAAAAAAAAATGTTGACGTTCATTTATTAACAGATAAGTTATGCATCAGGTAGCGAAGAGCTAAGTGATCAGAGGGTTTACCCATACTTCTACCGTACCGTTCCATCTGATGGGGATCAGGTGGAAGCCATGCTCCTAATAAAAATTGTCTTATAGAAGCATTGAATATCTTTTATTTATATAGTCAGAATTGAATTTTTTTTAAGGGTCTATTGCATTCAATATATTTCTAAATTTGTTGTTTTGAACACACACACCACCCCCCGCCCTCCCCCAATTGTCCCCCCATATTAAAAAAAAATGTTGACGTTCATTTATCAACAGATAAGTTATGCATCAGGTAGCGAAGAGCTAAGTGATCAGAGGGTTTACCCATACTTCTACCGTACCGTTCCATCTGATGGGGATCAGGTGGAAGCCATGCTCCAGTTCTTGGATCAAAGTGACATTCGTTATGTACAGGTAATTAAAATTACATGGCAGTCAGGTCATGTTTTCATGCACACAATGTTTTAATGTCCTTTAAAACTTGGATACAGCTAAGATATAGGAGCCAAAATGATCAATAAATTGATCGTGGGCCCTTAAGATATAGAAGAAGAAGAAGATCTGATTTGCCCTTCAAGAAGAATCTTAATTTCAAAGTCTCAAAATTTATGTATCATAGAAAACACTTCTGAGTTATTCTTCATTGTGTTTCTCAGATCGTATATGAGGATAACAGTAATGGCCTTACAGCCAAAGATACTTTCCTTGCTGAAGCCTCCAAATACAGAATTTGTGTGGCCCAGACTGTGAATTTCCCAGACCTTGGAGAAGTGAGCTCGTAAGTCATGGCTTATTCAGTCATATCATTTTTTTAATATTTTTTTTTTTTCAAACTCAAACCATCAGTACACACAAATAGAGTGAAGTTTTATTTTAGTAAACGAAATAAATTGAGCTGCACACTACATGTTGACTTGGATAGTTCGTATCTTTTAGTCCTTTTAAACTTCTAGTTACTTTATAATATAAATAATTGAATGTGCTTTTTCTCTTACTGAAACATTTCATAACTTCAAAGTTCAGAAGGGAAAAAAGATCTGTTTTTTTTTTTATTTTAATTTATTCACCTACCATTAATGTAGCCATGGAAAAAAGTGAAAAAGGCTGGACAAGAAATGAGAGATTTTTTGTGTATTCTGATCATTGGGATTATATAATAAAAAATTCACATTACTTCATGGGCTGTTGAGTTTTTTTTTTCTTTTTCTTCAGGGAAACCTCCAACTCCATTGTTTCAAAACTTGTTCTGAAACCAGCAGCCAACACAGTGGTGACATTCCTGGGCACTGACTTTGTCAACTCCTTGCTCCAGGCAGTTGGTCGATCTGACAGGGCACAGAATAAGCTTAGGTTTGGTTCTCATTAAAATTGTATGATTCAGTAGACTACAATTTATTGTTATTTTGTTGCAATCATTAAAAACATCTTCTAATATTAAATTAATATGGCCATACTATAGTTTTCTAATTTTAAAAAAATTTTTTTTACTAAGTTAACCAATAAAAGGAAATATTACACAACCTAGCTCTGATTTTATTGGAAGTTAAAAAAAAAAATCTTTTACGTGCTTTTTAACAAATATATCTGCCATTTACTTTTCAAAAAAAAAAAATTTAAATTAAAAATTTTTATCCATAGTCACCATCCTATTGGGTCTTCAACTGTCTTGGAAAATATTTGAATTTTAATATTATTAACATAATCTAGTCATGAAAACACTGAGAATTGAATACTTTTATATCCCTTGTGTCCATGCTATTTTGGTAAAAATTAAACACTATGTCAACAGAAGCCTCCTGGCAGATTTTAAGATGTATGTTTATTCCACAGGTTTATTGGATCTGTCGCCTGGGCTGACAACCAGGATGCCATCCAGGGAGCAGACAGACAAGCTGTGGGCTCCATCACACTCAAGCTGGACTCAGATGATATTGGGGTGGGTTTCATTTGGTTAACCTGAGTTTTGGCCCAGTTGCAAATATTGAATCTGAACTTAAGTTTGAAAGAACAAAAACAGCTGGCACTGAGAAATAAAAGCTATGTTGGAAAACCTTTGGGGCTCTTCATATACACTTATGCTTTGCTCAGTTCTCAACATTATGTTATTTTCATTTGACCATTTTGAACAAATATTTCATAAATACATTTCTGCTGATACGTACATATATGCATATATTTATATATAATTATTAATTATTCTTTTTAATTAATTTTTTTTTTTTTTTAAAATAATTTTTTTTCCTCTTTTTAATTTATTGTTTGATATAAATGAAGCAAACACATTTTATTGTAAAGTTTTTTTTTGGTAATGTTTTTAAAAAAGTATATATTATTTCTTCTTATTTTTTCATATATTCATATATTTATATATAATTATTAATTATTCTTTTTAATTAATTTTTTTTTTTTTTTTAAAATAATTTTTCTTCCTCTATTTAATTTATTGATTGATATAAATGAAGCAAACACATTTTATTGTAAAGATTATTTATGGTAATGTTTTTAAAAAAGTATATATCTGCTTAGCTGGTCCTTTCATTTAAAGAAATTGTTACATTAGAAATTTAGATTATATTATTTACATTACAAGTCAACATTATTTCTTAAGCGTTGGTTTTATTTACATTTTTGCCTCAATTTTAAAATATTTTTAATGCATTAATTACATGAAATCTGATTCGCTTTTCTTTGATTCAGGACTTTGAAACTTACATGGGCTCCAAGACACTTGCCAACTCTGTTGAGAATCCCTGGTTTGAAGAGTACTTCCAGAAGATTCAGAACTGCTACACCTCCAAAGCCAACACAATGGGTTACCCAAGGCCCTGCCCCCTGCCTACATCAGGTGTCATCAGTAGCCCACTCTACCAGCAGGACTCTGGCGTCGTCTACGTCATCAACGCTGTCTATGCTGCAGCCTTTGGAATTCACGAGACGTTGAAAGAAAAGTGTGGTAGGTTTCTTCTTCTTCTATGCCTCCCCAGCCAGAAAGGGGGGGGGGGGGGGGGTATAAGATGCCATTAACACTGGTCTTTCCTCGCCTTCTGGTCTCTTGCCATCTTCTCCAACCAGGGTAGGTGTTAAACATGGTAGGTGTTATACCTTGGTAGTTTTAACCATGGTAGGTTTTAACTGTGGTACATGTTTAACCATTTGCTTGGTTTAACCATGTTAAATCCTGCTTTTTCTATTTTATTGAAATTAACTCTTTTAAAAACAATTTGTTGAAGTTAAAGAGAAACAAATGAATGACACAACCCCTATGGTGAGACTGCTTCATTCTTACTTTAATTACACGGTCAACAGGTGAAGGCTACACGGCCGTGTGTCAGGCCTACAGAACAAGCAAGGACAGACATGAGAGCCTTAATAATAGACTGGCCAGTGTGAAGTTTATGGACCCAGTGGGCAACAATTTTACCTTTGTGAATCGTTCTGTGGTGGCAGGCTACAGGTTTTTGTCAGTGGAAACTGGTGCCTTGGGCTCCGTAGGCTACAGACAGGTAATGTCGGTTGTCACATCTCTTATCAAAGAGATAAGTTTCAACAGTTTTTGTCTTGGAATTGGTGTGTTTTTATTTAACATAACCTAACAAACCCATAAACTGTTTATTTCTTTGGATGGCTGCTTCAAAGCACTTCATTAAAAGCACAGTTTGAAAGTGCAATATTAATCTTTAAAAAAATGTTCCTGGTTAGATTATACACGTCGTTGTACTAAGTGTGTACTAGAAGCCCTTCATTTGCACTGTTTAGAGTTTCAGTGGCTCTGTAACAGCAAGTGACAATTGATTTTATTGACATTGTTCACCCACCAATGGTTCAAGTGCCATGGTTCATACCAGCTTCACTGAATGAGTAATTGATATACCTCTCTGCAGATTGCCCTATTTGATGAGACCAGACGCAGCGTCAACATAAGCTCTACTTACACCACCGCCTGGAACAGCGACTGTGACCGGCGAGATGCCTGTGCAGAGTGCCCCAATATCAGAGACAATGACGTGAGATACGTCTTCTATAAGTAAGTTGGATCACATATCATCCCGGGACAGTCAATGTAAAGAAAACCCATCATTATGGGATATTACACAGCTTAAAGTTTATCTACTCAGATTTAGACGACACCCAAGCGCATTGCCCTTATTGTATCATCACATTCTCTTCTAAGCATACATTTTTATTGCCCCCCTCTTTCCTCATAAAAATAAAAAAGGAATTTTGATATTTTTTCTTAAAAGATCCCTCATAATTAAAGCACCGATGCCATCTGTGGGTTGTTCATTGTCCTCGGCTTAGGAACATGTTACCATTGCTTTGGAGATATGTTGTCTTATTCAAGGATTTGTTGCGTTTCAGTGACGCCAATAAGCTCCAGAACACCACGACGATAATAGGATTCTTCGACATCCATAAGCAGGGAGTCGATCCTTACAGATGTGGTGAAATCAACATACCTGGCCTCCACCAATTTCTGGCCTATTTTTACACTGCTCAGAAAGTTCTGCCGGTGAGTGCGGTGTTAAAATGCAAGTCTCCCATATTTATAACTCTGACTCTGCTTGGTTCCATTAACGAATAAGTGAGTGAAAACAATTCACTCCCAATTAGTATTTGGGACATGTTCAGAGACGGATGGACATAAAACCAAATGCAGTTAGCTTCAGTCCAATGCTACCAATTCAAGTATTTGCTTCTCAAACAACTTCTATTGAATACGAAAGCCTCTCTATCATAAGTTTAAAAAGTTTCATTCTATCAGTTTTCACAGTGTGTGGAGACATCACCCACCTTTTACTCTTGTTCTAGAATATGCATGTGATGCTTCAGACCATCATCCATTTATTTAGCAAGGAATCTTGAAAAATGTAACTTTGAAATATTTTTTTTTGTATGGTATTTAAAAAGTATTTTTTCTCCTGCCACTCCCAGGGAAATGTTCGCATCCTGGCCATTGACACCTGCTCCAACAGCATGAGAGTGGATCAAGACCTGTTTGGCCTGCTGCAAGGGACTGGTCTCTGCAACTCTGAGTATGTGACATTTGACCTCATAGCATCATTGTTAAGTTTTTTAGAAATCTGAGATTTAATTGAGATGAAAGTTAAGTCAGAACTCAACCCTCTACACCAAACTTAGGGCAACCTACAGCTTCCTAAATGAAATCAGAAATGGACTTTATCATTGACCTGGCCGTGGGCCAGTGGTATCTGTGATATAGAGAATACTAAAAGGCATTCAAACACCTGGTTTTTTTTAAAATAAATATTTCCTATCATCTAGTCCAATGATGCCCAACTCTTGGTCAATGGATACTTGGAGCCCCACAATGAGTCTGAGAGACTGAGTCAGAAACACTGTCTGTATTTGATTTCCCCTCCCCCCAACCTCCACTTACACATACATTTCTAGCTCTTACATTAATTATTTGAAGCTAGGACTGTGCCATCTAAATCACTGAGCAGTATTTAAAACCTATTAATTTTTTTTTTCAGCCCAATACACAGATACGAGTATTCAAATTTATTAATCTTTATTTATTTACCCTCACCAGTTTTGACAAAAGTAAAATGATCTCCATGGACCATTTAGGCAGTGTCATCACCCTAGGAGAACTCAACACCATGGCAGCTTCCAGAGTCCTTGAACTTCCAAAGGTGACCTACATTAGTCCTAATGCATTGAGCACTTACCTGGATAGCTCTCGATACCTATTCCGTACCATTGCGCCTGCCAGTGCCATGGTGCAAGCCATATCCAACCTCTTCAGCAAGGTGGGCTGGAAATATTTTGACGCCCTGTATCAACTGAATTCAGGAGAGGGTGTCAACCTATGGGAAGAGTTTAATGTTTTCGCTGCCAACAGTGGGTAAGATACCTTTTTTTAGACAAAAAGTATTAGGAATGAGAAAGTAGGAGATGATGAACTGCACTGTGCCAGTCTACAGCACTAATAAATAACACTTATCAATAACATCAATAAATGACTCTTAGCAATTGCATCAATAACTGACACTTAATAACTTAATAAGTAACTCTATTAAATTACATTTAATAAATATCAATAAATGACACATCAATAAATGACACTTAATAAATAACACCAATGAATGACACTTATTAATAAAAGCAATAAATGACACTTAATAAATAACTCTCCAATCCTCCAGGTTACATTTTTTTAAATTCATCTATACTGGATCAATGTAACAATACCCAACATAGACTTATGTAATAGACATTTTTTTGTCTAAATATTTGGACAAAGTGTGCAGTGGTCAACACTAGCAAAGACAGCTAAAGCAAACTTGTAACATATTAACTATACTGTCAGAGCTGTCCCACAAAACACATCACTTTTAAGGTCATTCATTTACTTGTCAATTTCATTTGTCTTAAAATTCCGGCTGGACTCTGCGCTCCAAAACCTGATACGTTAATTCAGAAAAGTAAGTTGCCTTCTCAAGACAAACACTTGGAGCCGGAGTCGGTCTTTGTTTGCCTCTTCTCTTATAATATGAGCTCAATGAACATTCTGTAATTTTCTCTCATACTTAAATTTCACTTTCAACAGTTTGTGCACTGGCATTGCACTTGGTCTTGAAGATACTTTCAGCTCTGCTGATATTAAGCTGAATGGTGACAAAGGTGAGACTTTGGATTTTGGGCTTAATAGGTGGGGGGGGGGGGGGTTGTGTTGGTGTGTGTGTTAATAATTTATGAAAAATGTATTCGATTGACTCAAACTATAGAGCAGCTGTTTCCAAACTTTTTGGTTCACATCACACTAGGTGTTTTAGGATTTTATCCCAATGCACCCATATAAGAGCAAATACCTTCATAATAGTTGCAGTGTGTGTGCAGTTGCATTAGGTTGTTAAGAAAAACAATAAAAAAGATAAAACATGCTTATCAAATTTCATAACAATTTGTTTAAGAATTATTTGATAAGAACACATTTGGAACAGTCATTGAATAAATCAAACGTAGTTGGTAGTCATTAGGATTTCTTTAAGGGGTGGCTGATCTTCATAGACCACACTGAGTGAGTCTGCCTTAAATAACATTAAGTAGCTGTCTCTTTATGTGTTACAAAAGGTGTGCACGGTTTGATCACACAGGTTCAAAGGCGGTGGTCCTGTTTGGTACCAGTGACTTCATTGGCCGTGTGATGTCTGCTGTGTCCGGCTACGCTGATAAGTATGTTTGGGTTCTGGCTGTTGATTGGGACCTGACTCAAGATCTCCTCAACAGCTTTGTGCCGGCCGGCAAAACAGTAAATTTCATAACTGTACACAGAAACACTTATGTCGTTGAGAGCTTCCAGACTCACGTGAGAACCGCCCTGACATACAGCCAGGTTCACAGCACCAATAACCCCTCGGGCGTGCCTGTCCGGTGGTTTGATGAACTGTACCAGACAGTGTGGAACTGTACTTTGAGCAAGTCTGCCAAACCCATCAACATAGGCAAACCTGAGTGCCTCACTAACAGGGTAGGTAGCTGAATCATTAGGGGCTGATTGGCTCATGAAGCTAACCCGGTTTGAAAATGGATCAGATGGAGATGATTATAAAAGTAAAAATTTAAGCAATGAATAATAAACATAGAATGACATTGGAAGGAATTTATGTTTTTAGTAGATGTTTTTGTCATCATTATGATTGGCTTCTTAAAATAACTGTATCAGTTCACTCACTGAAGTCTGTTTTCATTGGATTCTTCTTTTTTTTTTAGACCTTCTCAAACCTTGTACATGACAAATACGTGCTCAACACCATTGCTGCCACTTTTGCTGCTACTAGTGGACTGACTGCCCTTCAGCCCACACAATCTTTGAACAACTTACGTGCTGAGATCAAGTAAGAAAGAAGAAACTTTACCCGTTATATTATTATTATGAAGAAAATTAGACCCATACATAATTTGAACATCAGTTGACCGGAAATAAAATCAACTGCTGCTTAAGGATCAAAGAGGTCCAGGGAAAGAGAGAGGAAGTTTTTATTTTTTAATTTACTGCCTAAGTAATTAAGGGATAAATCTGTCACAAATCTGAGTTGACTAAAATGTATTAATTCTGCATTATCATCAACCAACACAATTCTCTATGAATGAAAGTATGGAGTAATGGTGAGTTAAATAGAGCACAAAATAAAATTCCTGATAACTGCGCCAATTGAGATTCTTAAAAATACTGCAAATGCGCTTGGTGCATAATGTTTGTTTTCTTTTACAGAAATTGTCTCAACTTAAATATGGTGCAATTATCTCTTGTGTAAAAGGGGAGTAGGACATTAGGATATTGATCGGGGAAGTGGAAAAAGTGTTAGTGAGGCATACCGGTTGGGGGGGGGGGGGGGGGGGGGGGGGGGGGGGGGAGTTGTACGAGTGGTATAAAGTTCATTTCTTGAATGAATGTTTTGTCCAGTAATTTCGTAGATTGGAAGTTCACGCATCGCCTCCACCATTGTTTGGCAAGCTATAACTATAATATAATAATAATCAAGGACATTGGCTTGTTTTAAGTTCTTGAAAAATGTAAAAATAGATCCTTGAAAATGTAAAGATGGCAAGAAATAATGAGAAATGGTCCAATATTTGACATGGTTGAACTTAATATTCAGAGGCTCATTTATGTTCATTAAATAACGATGTGATGATCTTTGCAGGAATAAAATTGCCGCTGTGACACTGAACATGGCTGCCCCAGGATCTGCTGCAGGGGACCTGAAAATCTTCAACCTCACCACAGATTTGCAGTTTCAGTTTGACAAGACTTACCAGTGGTGGAACTCTGGGTTTGAGATTAAGATTCTCAGTGTCAGCAAAGACAACTCACAAAATCTGGCCATTACAAATTTATTGGTTGGTTCAAGTTTATTAAAATGTTTAATATATAAGCTTCAGAGCAAATCGGTTTTTAAGGGGGAAAAAATTTATGAAATCTAGACAATTCTTGGGTGACGTTAATTTTACACAGCCATTTTGTTTTATCAAGCATAAACACTATAGTAATTTTTCTTGAATTAAAGGGGCAAAATATAAAAAAATTATATATTTTTAGGAAATTAATTAAAAATACTAATGTTACCAGAAAGCAGTTAAATTAATTTTCCCCTATTTAAAGGAAATTTTGATTAATATTAAAATACAGAGTTCTCAATCTAAATTTTAAAAAAAAAAATTGTTGTGCATAATTAACATTAGTTTTGACATTATCTTATCAACCAATGAGAATAGATAGTGATAATGGCTGAGCTAGGCATATATTTTCTAGGAGCCATAAAATATTAAAACTAAAAACTCAGATATACTCAATGAATGAGCCCAGAAAAATCACACCGTTTCTCATCTTTTTTGCTTAGATCAAAGAGTAGTATCATTTCCTGTCAGGTTACCAAACCTTTGTGGGTGGTTCATGATATCTGGCTTTGTGTCTGGTGATGGGCCGGAGGATCAGTAGAACAGTTAGAGAGCCACATCCTGCAAGGGGCAGATTTTAAAAGGGACTATCCCAGTATTGCAGTACATCTGGGAGAACCCTTAAAAAAATAGTTTTAAAAAAAAATTATCCTCACATATTTGATTGAATCTAGTGTAATTTAAATTATGTATTATGTAAAGATCTGGTAACATTTCATATTTCTTCAGAACTTCACTGTTGCATCTGTGCCCTCTGACAGTCAGCTGAAGGATATACTTCGTGTCTTCAACCTGACCTCCATCTGTACTGACAACGCCGGCTGCAGCTGTTCCTATGACACGGACGGAAGAGTGCTGCCGCAGACTGGTTCCAAGTTTACACCTGGTGACCACCGCAACTACTTCTTCTACCACGACTTTGGCAACCTCATGTACGAGTGGCCGATCTGGGCCATTGTGGTGGCCATTTTTACCTCTCTCGGCCTCCTCATCACCCTCATCTTGTTCCTGATATTGCTGTTCGCCTACCCCAAGAAAGGTGGCACCTCAATCCTGGGGTACATGGTCATTATTGGGATTCTTGGCATCTACGTCATCAACTTCGCCTTCTTCGTTAGTGCCAACGAGGCCACATGCGGCAGCCGCCGTTTCCTCATGGGCGTTGTGTACATGATCGCCTTTGCCCCGCTCCTGGTCAAGGCCGTTGACAACTGGAGGTTCAGCCAGGTGCCGGGTGTTGAAGGAGTAGGAAGATACAGGTACTGCAAGGGAGCTTGTGTGCTGGAATGTTGTATGGACGGTTAGAGGTTTAAGTTCAGGGATGCTTTAAAAAGCAATGGGTTTACTATGCACTACATTTTCTTGCTACTGCAATACAGGTTTAGGGAAAAGACTAAGCACCTGAGCCACTTAAATAAAGTTTGGTAAGATGTGGTACGATGGGTTAGAGTGGATAAATCCACTTCCACTGTAAGACATTTTATTTGAATGGTGTGGGAATTAGTGTCAGACTTAATGCAAGGGTTAATTATTTCAATGTTATGTTGGTTCATGATTAGCAGGTGCTTGGTCTGAATTTTTTTTTTTTTTTCAAATTTGTAATTTAATTGGTTTAAAATTGTGTTCTCCTAAAAATAATGGATTTTAAAATATATTATGTAAAAAATTCCCAGAAACCTTGAGGCACTTGACCAGCAATTTAAAATAGAGATATTAAAAATAGCTTTCTTTCAATATAACGCATGCCTCATTCTCAATACTTCAGGCATTTCATTGCTCATATTATTTTTCTTTTTTAATTTCAGTGGTATTTCTTCTGCGTGCTCACTGCTTCTGGTTGCCTGTGGTATTGTGTTGGTCCAGTGCATCATTCCCATCATTTGGCTCATTTTGGTTCACCCCACAGCCAGCTACTGGCCGGTGAACGACGGCATGCATGACAACTGGTGGTGTGACCCTCCACAAGACTACGACAAAGGCATAGTGCTGTCCATGGTCTTTGTAATGTTCATCGTTCTGCTGACCGCCATTTTCTCAGCCATTACATTTGATACTGAACGAAACAACTTTGAATCCAGGTAAAAATAAAGCTCCACAGTTATTGCCGATATCCTCTGCACCTGTGCCTTTTTATTGCTAAATTTAGTTAACTATAAAAGTATCACATCCCTGCGCTTTATTTAAGCTGTAAAAAATGTCCTTGTGCAAACAAGTTAAAAATTGTAAAAAATAAACTATTTCATTTCATGTATATTTATATATATGTAAATCAGTGGGATAATAAAAAGATATTGCAGAATATTGTTGTATTGCCCTTAGGTGGATCTTATTTGGTAGCATTGCAACAGCTGGTTGTTTCCTCGTCTGGATGATTGTGTCTACCAATGCCGGGCCACCATTCAGGTCAGTGGGGACGCAACATGGTTAGTAGGGACACGACATGGTCAGTGGAGACACAACATGGACTGTGGGAACATAACATTGTCCGTGGGGGCACAACATGGTCAGTGTTGATATAGCAATAGCATGGTCAGTGGGGGTGCAACATGGTCAGTAAGGACATAACATAGTCAGTGGGGGACACAGCATTGCCAGTGTGGACATAACATGTTATTTGTGAAAGGACTTTTACTGGACGAAAATATTGTTAAATATGTAGATTGTGTGTACAAATGCTGGGCCACCATTCAGGTCAGTGTCGACATGCACTATTCATTGTGAAAAGAATGCTTACTGGGCAGAAACAATCCTAAAACTAGGCAGTCAAAATGATCATTTAGAAAAAACATCAATGAAATAATCTTATGACCCTTGCCAGCTATGAAATTAAACAACCCTTAAAACAAACCGTTTCGTGTAAATCCTTTGGATGCATTTTTATTTATTTTATTTTAAATTAATATTCTAATGTCCTACCCACTTTTACACAGCAGATTGCAGAAAGAAAGAAAAAAAAAATTATACACCAAACACACACACCATCTTTTTTTTTTAAAAAGGAATCTCATTTAAAGCAGTTATTGGCAATTTTATTTTGTAAAATCAGTGTCATCGTATTTCCTTCATCTTCCTCTTGAAAAACAGGAAAAACTGATTTTTGGGGGTTGGGGTGTGGGAACTGAAAATTTGATAGAGTGTGCTGTCATCGGTAACGAGCCATGTGGCAAGTTTCAGTTTGATAGGTTGATGGGAAGTGGGTCAATTAATCATCTGAAGATTTTACCACCAAACCAGAAACACTGAACAAAAACGAAGTTCATAGAAAGGTTTTTAAAAGTAGTCCATTACAGATAAGATTTTCTCAAACTATACATGTAAAGTTTGACTTAGAATTAGAATGAAGAGCAATCTGTTGTTTTTTTTTTTAAATTTATGAATAATTAATAACCAGTCGTACTAAATTATCTAGAACAGTGGTTCTCAACCTTCCTTATGCCACGACTATAAAATTATTTTCATTGCTTCTTCATAAATATATGTTTTATGATGCTCATAGGTGACCACTGTGTAAGGGTCGTTCGTGACCCACAAGTTGGTCAAGTTAAGAACCGCTGTTCTAGAACATTTAACCAATTTTTTTATGGTTTCACACTGATGTTTATTTTATCTATTTCAAATTTGATTACCATGATTTGTGCTTTTTATCAGTTTTTTTAATGATCCTTTTCCTGATGTGTCCTCAGAGATGCTGCTGTAACAATTGGAAACCTCGTCAATGCCAGCCTGTTAATGCTTGTCATGCCGTTCAGAAAGTCGTTTTTGTTGTGCAGGTCCCTGCGCAACAAGGACAAAGATGATTACTCAGATGAAGGCGTCAACGGAGGTTTGTACTCCAGCTCTAAAATGAGGATGGTGATCTGAAAAATGGGGAGAAAGATTTTCTGTTGGGGTGCAGAGCAGGCAGCTCTTGATTTAAGAACAAGTTCCATTCCCAGAGGTCGTTTGTTATATCATATGATTTTGTTCGTCATGTGTCAAACCACCTCGTTATGCGCTTTTTGCGCACTTGATGCAATCCTATGTGTTGGCTGTAATTTTTGCATAATATAGGCAGTGTATTAGACTTTAAATGTAAATTGTTATATATAGCAATACGCTGTAGCATTTTTTTTTTTAATGAAAAATAACTTTTTCAAAGTAGGACATTCAAAATTTTTTTAATCTTTGTAAAAATCTTAAAATTGTGATGTTCTTGATACTATGAACATTCCTGACTCGTCAATAACGGCTGCCTTAAAATTCTGCATGAGATTGTGAAACACATTCCTTAACTTGGCTGACTTCATTATCTCAGGTTGTAATATAAAGAAAAATAATTCAATTATTTTTTTTACCTCCAATCCACATAGACCTTTGAAATTTGTTTCAGGTCCATATGAAAATGGTTTCTCCAATGGAGAGTACAACACTGCATTTGACTTGGCTGAGTATGACAACCAGTACAGCAGGAAAAATCTGGAACTTTAAATACCATGGTGAGTTTTAACTGATACTCTGAACAATTTCAGTCAAGACGATCACCTTGTGCTGAATTTGAATCAAATAAATAGTGGAGCATTGTATGAATTTGAATCAACATTTGAGTGAAAGAGCTTGACTTACATGAAGGGGCATATTTTGAAAAATATCTTTATTCCCATCTAATTGAAATTTTTCTTTTTAAATTTTTTATCGCCATCATTTTTTATAACTTATGATTAGAATATGCTTCTGAAGGAATTATTTATTAATACACCACAAAAAGCTATTGGGGGCCGCCATAAATAAATGCATGCTATTTAAGGAGATTTCTTGTGACTTCTACCCCAGATGGTCACTGGCTTGTCACAAAATTTGGACACCCTCATAGCACACTGTCGCAAAATTTTGACACCATCATAGCACATTTTCACAAATTTTCAGATAGCTTATGTCATTTATGGATGGCCCCTTAGAGAAGTTGTAGGATTTTTTTATCAAATTGATCTGTGTATTTCTTTTGTATAACATCTACATCCAGATGACCTTTTCATACCGGTAACTTGAAAGAACATGATATGAAAACATTGGTATTTCTTTTATTTCAGATCGTCTGCCTACAAAGTCTTGCAGCACCACATTGGAGATAGGAAATGTTGCCGTTTCACTGCTGGGAAAGTCAAACGTTTCAGGATTAAGATTGATCGACTCGTAAAATTTTACACTATTTTTGAAGTTTGTACAAAGTTGGGTGCTAAAATCAATTTGAAAAAAAAAAAAATTATGTTACTATAATTTGACAACAGAAGAGGTCATGTAAATTATTATATGGTGGCCCAATAAAAGTAGAGAAGCTGAATATTTTTATATTACTGTAAAATAATATTAACAGAGAACGTCAAATCGGAATAAACACAAAAAAAAATAAGATTTGAAATATTTCTTTAATGAAAGAAAACAAGCACAATTAAGTTTTGTGGGAATTTGATATTTTGAAGAATGTGTAATGTTTTTTTGTTGTTTTTTGTGTGGTCTAATCAACTTCTGAATATATGTGTTTGAATGCAGCAAAAGTATTGACAGCCCCCTCCCCCAACCTTCCTTTTTATTTTAAAATTTTTTTTTATACTTCTTTTTTACTAATGTACAGTGTGATAACTGTTTTGGAATACTTCATGAAAGTTTGCAGCAAACATCAAGTGAGACATCACCCAGTGCTTTGCACACTGAATGTTTATGTAAAATCTGTTACTGCTTGACACAAACAGAACATGTTATAGGTTGTTTCATGTATTCTATTACTGTTTGACACATACAGAATGTGTGACAGGCTGTTGAATATATTTCATAACACACACACACAAATTATGTGATGGGTTGTTTCATATATTGAATCTCTGTATTACACATGCATTATATGTGATAGGTTGTTGCCATAATGAATCACTGAATCCAGTAGATGTGTTGACCTGCTATAATTTTGCATATGTGCCTAAGACAAATAACCTTTTAACTTATTGTTTTTGTCTTGTTTTCACTGTTCACTCTTCCCTCATAATATTTATACAAACATTCCACTGTAATATACAAATAATATTTTGTTACACAACTTTTGTACATTTAATAATTTTTTTGAAGAATCTTAGGCATGCATCTCAGTGTCATTAAACATTATTTTGCTTAGTTCAGTGTATTTAAATCATTTTTTTTATGATAAAGATATTGTAACTTATTGTCAAATAAGTATTTTTAAAGCAAATTCAGACAATTTTGTAGCCAATTCAAAAAGTTAAAGTCAAACGTTTTTAAACGGAAAAAAATTTGTGTACTTCAATGTTAAAAGGTTTTTATTTGAATGAATGCACAAATTTTATACTATTACTAGGGACATTATTAATACAGCAATAAATTTTATACTATTACTAGGGACTCTCTAAATAGAGCATAAATGTATACTATTACTGGGGACTTTCTTAATAAAGTATAAAATTTATACTATTACTAGGGCCTGATTTAATAAAGCATAAATTGTACAAGATGCCATTGATCATTCTCTAACTTTTATTTAAACACTTTTAGATTGGATAGTGAAAGTTTATTCAGTTCATATTCTAAGAAAAAATAAAATAAATATCATAATTCTCTATATGTTTGCTATTTTAATTTTTTGTCAAATTTGTATTGTCCCCTACTGAAATAAGATTGATTTTTTTTTTTAAATTTCTTAAGATATTTCTTTTGCAATTTAAACTCTCAAATTGTAAGGTTTAGTCATTGCTACATAGGAAATTGAGGCAACAGCTGGGTAAATCGCTGAGATTGCTTTTATGAATCTTTCCCACAGCTGTTTCCTGTGTGTAAAAAAAATCTCTGTGGCCAGACTGACCTTTAAATCTACTCTTCACACACTTTTATACAATTATGTCTCCTTATTTTCTTTTTTTATATACTTGGAAACTGCCTTTGACAGACTGAACAATTTAAAACCAATAGTTTGCCACAAACAAGGCAAATATTTCTCTTGCAATATTTCTACAAAATTATTTTTTCATTGACCCTGTTTAAGAAATCTACTTTAGGGATCATTCACATGCATGAAAATGTCAGTTTTGCTTGTGTATGCAGGGGAATCAGGGAAGTAACATGACAATTCTCAACACTGTTTTCCAACTCCTTTAATAATTTATATACTACCATCTTATAATAAAACATATTTTTTTCATTGCAATTTTATGACAAAACATTTGTAAATAAAATTATAAGTAATTTGCTAACATGCATACAAGCAGGTTGTGTTATTTCACAACTGTTGCAGACAACAAAGTCATTGGTTTTCTTAATAAAAGATTCTCAAAAAATGTTCCATTAAAGGACATGAAACAATAATCTGACAAGGTAATTAATTATTACCAAGTCCCACACAAAAAAATAGCTCAGGCAAAATATGGCAATTAAAAACAATATATGTCACACTACACCACATATAATATATAATGTCATAAATAAAATAACAATTATATAATAAAACTACATCAGTTGCTCACAGTTTAAAATTGGTCATAAAAAAATCAGATGAGTGCTGAAATTGATGAGTGATAAAATACACTTTTTTAACATCATAAATAAAAATGACCAAAATGAATCCTGACCAAGCACTCATTAGCCATTCCAGCTCACCAAACCCATGATGAAAAAATTCAGGATAAATATCCTAAAAATAATCTCAAGCTGTAATCACAATGTATATTTAAATGTTAACTTAGATCCAGCCATTTCTCTCTCAATGACTTCATCAAACCACTCATTTTGTGCCACCGTAAACTCGTTCTTCCAATCTCCAACTTGACCTAGACAAAAGAATTTTTTTTTAAAGATTTCTCTCAATCTAAATTCATAAATCCTAAGCAATGTGGTCAGTCAAATTATTGAATTTTGTTATGATATTAAAATGAAGAATATTTTAATTTTTATGCTTATGTAGATTTAGGGAAGGGAAAATTATAAATGGCTGGCCTAAATTCATCTGAAATAAAAATCATTTTTTGAAAAGCTGGGAAAACAAAATTTCTACCACTGAGTTAAGTTTCTAAATCTTTACCTTCCTTAAGTAAGAGTCACTAACTCATAGTGTATGTTTAAAATAAATCATAGTGCTGCTTTTAAATAAAAGGGTAGATTCTTGTTCCCCCTTTGCTAAAGTGATTTATTAATAATAAAAATGAAGTTGAAAAAATGTATGAGTTTAGAATCAGAATGACATCATCACTACAGATGCAAAGTAGTTATAACCTGTGCTTCTTTTTTGATGCATCAAATTATGTTTTAGTAGTAATAAGAAATTTTATTGTAATTTTAGAATAGTCTCATTTTTAGAAATGTATCATCAATATTAACTGTCAAGCATTTAAAGTTAAAACAATAATTTACACTTAATATTAATGTGATTAATGTAATGATCCCAAATAATTACTATAATTAAAATTTGCTTTTGGGTGTATCAAAATGTTTTTTCAACAAAATACACATTTTATTTAATGAATTTTTAATGTTATTATCATATTTTTTTATGAAGATAAAAAAAGTTACCTTTTCTATACATGACTGGCTGGCCCTGCTTGTTCTTAAATGATTTATCTCCCTTCCTCGCCTTCATTGTTGAAAAATCGGTAATGTCACATACTTGTTTGAGGAAGTCATCTGGGTAGCTAAAACCTAAAAATTGTGACAACCTTCGAACTTCTTCTAAGTTACTCTAAAGATTGAAGGAAAAAAATTAATAGTCGTGAGCATGTACAACATAATTAAACTATAAGTAGATATAGAACCGTATTGCCTTTTTAACATCTGATTGAACTTTAGATAACAAAACTTTCATTTTTACATTTCATTAATTTATTAGTATTATAAATGCTCACAGTGTAAGAATAACATGAGCCAGTACATATCACTGATACGAGCTTCATAATTATTGATAAGGGAACAGAAACAAAATGTGTGTGCATTAAAAAATAAAATACTCAGTATCTCTTCTTTTTTTGTTTTGGCATGTTACAGAACTATTATGTAATTTATTACAAGGATGTTCAGTGACTTGCAAGTTGATATACAAAGTTGATTTGCATTGTGGTGTGTGGTCAAATGGTGTTGTGTACAGTCATGTGTACTATGTTCACTCTGTACATTTATTTTTATGGTGGAGAGTGTATTGGCGTGGGCGTCTTTTTAACCACTTCTAACCTCTTTCAAGTCTTCATAGGAGCTCATAAATACAGGCAGCTCTGGATGATCTGCAATAGCCTTTTCCCATCCCTGTGTGTAAATAAACGGTGAACCACTGTCAGCTGTAGAATGTAATAAATAAACTTTTTAAAAATCTTATCATGCTTAAATAATAAATGCTGTGTCAAGACACCTAACCCAGAACGTTCCACAAACAGGACCATGTTCAGGATTTTGTTCAGTCACATAGCATTTTGTAAAATAACAGTGGCTATGCGTTTTAAAAAACAGACATTTTAGTTCAGCTATCTTTAGTTAACTTTCCACAGGATAGTAAAGCACTCTCAGCTAAATTCCTTCAATTTGTTCCACCTAAATACAGCTAAGGATGATGATGATGCACTCCAAATTTATTGTTTGTCCGCTCTAACAGGACCAACTGAATACAATATAATCCAATGTTTCCCAAATTTTAAGTTTGGTGTACAGGTGGACAAGTTTGGAAAATGAACCTGTGCCAGATTTATGTATTATATTTTATTTATTTGACCACAAATATTCAAGTTTTGCGGATGGACAATATAAGGCTTGCAGATCGTTGGCGGTCAGTGAAACACTATTTTGGGGGAATGCTGATCTAATCTATCTATGCATATAATATGCAAGATATATGCTAAAGCTTTCGATTACGTTTCAATTATGCTATAACAATTTATGAAATAGCTGAAAATTACTCACTGAGGCCAGCCACCCATCTTTTTAAGTGACTGCCAAAGTCTCCATTGTATTCATAATCATGGATTCCTGTGTGATGATGATAAAATGAAACTGCTACATCCTTGAAATTCCTGTAAATAAATACAGTTTTGACCTTCTTAGCCAGGAGGTCCCTTGGTTGCATGTTGAATGTCATATGGTTATTGAGTACCCTTGGTGAGGGCAGGGAGTCATAGCTAATGCTGGGTTGCCACTCCATCATAAATGCCTCTTTGTCTATGATCTCTTCATCACTTGGAATTTTACCTGCCACAAGGATATGAATAATATCCCATACCCAATGACAACCTGTGACAACATGATATATCAATTAGTGAAATAAATTGTTATAAATTGGAGCACATAATTTTATTTTTTAACTAGTTGAAAATTTCTAATCGTTATTCATGAGATTTGCAACTCTAATTCATTTAGTATTGTTTCCTTAAATCATTAATAAAGAAAAATTGAGCCACCATTGTAATGTAAGAGAAAAGAAAGTTTGTCTGAGAAGATTGTAGCATAATATGCAATTAATTATAGTAAAAATTAAAACATCTGCTATATATCTGTTAACAACCCATTTACATGCATTACTGAGGTGAGGAATAAAAATCATATTTTTGTCAAATTTAGTTGTGAAATTAAAATTTACAGGCAAAATTGAAATAGTCCAATAAGTTTTCAGGACCTAAGAGGCATTTATATTCAAAACCACCAGAGTAAATTAATATTTTAAAATTTTGCTTCAGTACTGCCTTTTTTTAATTTTTACAAAAACTATTTGTGTAGTTAACTTAAAGAAAAATCAAGAGATATACTATAAAGGCAATAAAAAACACAACAGATAAAATTGTACCTAAACCAAATTTCAAAACTTTTTTATATGTTCTTAGAATGTACTACCACTTGTATTTATTTCATGGTAAATAAAAGACTAAATAACCTGATTTTGGATAAGAACACAACACAATGTCATCCTCTCTTAAGGGGAATTCATCCATGTTTAGTAGAGCCTCCTCATTGAACTGAGGTGATCCAAAGTAATGCCCCTTGAATGGGATTAAAGTCATCATGTGCCCACTCTCGTCTGGAACTTTGGCAAGTGGCATTGTTGATTTTTTTTCTCTTTCTTTTAACTATTTACCTGAGTAAATTTAAAGTCAATATTTACACAAAACCAGTTGGCCTAGAGTTTAATTAAAATGTACTTTCAAATATATCAACAAACAACTGCATTTCACATTACATTTAATCTTTTGAAAAGAAGCAATAAAAGATGTGAGTCATGGTGAAGACCAAAATAAATTCATTTAGTGGAGAAAATCAATTTAATTTTATTTGTGTTGGGGGAAGATGTGGGTGTTTAGATAGATCAGGTTGGAGGGATGTAGAATGGTGTCTCGTACACATGTGTTTTCTGTGGAAAAGAAGTGTGGTAAATGCAAGGTAGCAAGCGGGGGGTTCAATGATTTATTTTTTTGGGTGGTAGTAAGAATTATCAATTTCAGTAAAACATTATTATATCATTATAAACTAGTTACTAATAGGCTAATGTATAAATGAAATAGGGAAATATGTTGTTGAAATTATAATAGGTTATCATTAATTTGCTATTTAAAACAGTGCATTTATTTATTTTTTTAAATGACTACCTCTAGTCTACGTAGCCTACTTTTCTAAAAAAAAAAAAAAAAAAGATAAATTTTAGTAAATTAGTTACTAATAGGCAAATGTATAAATGAAATAGGGAAATATGTTGTTGAAATTATAATAGGTTATCATTAATTTGCTATTTAAAAAAGTGCATTTATTTATTTTTTTAAATGACTACCTCTAGTCTACGTAGCCTACTTTTCTAAAAAAAAAAAAAAAAAAGATAAATTTTAGGGGTTCTGGGACCAGGGGTTGGGGGCATTATATTGGATGGCCTATTTTTAAATAAATGTTTATATTTCAAAGAAAGTTTAGGTCCTTTATATGGTTTTGATTGTCTGTGACAAATTAGTTGAGATGAAACATGACACACCTAGAAGAGAAAAAGACCATTTGATCTAATTTTAAACAGATATGCTGGCATTTATAATCAATACGCATAAATTTAGGTAAGCGCTATGAGTTAAAAACACTAAGGCTTGTAGTTCTAATTGAGCTTTACGAATGAGCCGCAGACAAATAACAACAAATTTACATTTGTCGGTTAAGAAAATTTTTACTAAAGATTTTTAAAAGCCTACTGGTGGCAGTTGATGGAGAAACATTGATGGCTGGCTCTAAACATTCATTGCTGCCCATAATCAGTGCCAAATGTCCCTATTTTTCTTTGTGTCATCTATTGCCAACTTCTGGTTGCTAAAACTTTTTAGACATGCTCGAAATGATTGACTGTTCCTGGTGCGCTGTGTTAAAGGCACTGCAGAATAAGTTGCTCCTTTTTACTGATGTTTGTTGGAAACAATGCTGTTCATGGTGAATAGACTCCAAGACATCACACAAGACATTGCTTATCATAATTTTGCAATGGAATGAGACCTGCTTTTATAAAAAATCAAACTGTGCTCATTATTCAGTATAGAGCCAACTAGAGTTATTCTAATGTACTAGCAGGTCAGTCAGAGTTTGAATGTATGATGTGTTTTTAAAATGTTTATTTGGTAGAGCAATTTGAGAATTTTATGTTGATGGAAGTCACAAACTGGGTTTTAAACAAATTTTCATGCACTTGGACTTGTTGCAGGTCTTGGCTTATACTTATTTAGGAAAAATGATTTTAAACCAGTTTGGTACCAGGGCCAAGGGTTTTACCTTCCAACTATATGACATGACATTTATAATCATATTCGCCACAGTGGAGTGCTCCCTGTAGCAATCTTATCATTGTATTTGGTGGAAAGTGATTATATTGAGATTTACCCGTTTTGTACCTAAAACTCTTGCTAAATAATTATCTTACCAAGGCACTGTTTGATTTAATTATAAACTATAATAAACTATTCAGCTTAGAACTGAATTAATAAATAATAATAAAGTATAAAGGTTCAGTTGTATTTTGATTAGGCCTAATTATTAAAATATTCTTATAATGTCACTATGATCATTGTGTAATTATCTACCAAAGATGCTAGTGTAAAACGAATTCTTAAAATTACGCTCAACAGATGCGGTAAGGGCCCAAGAGGGTGGTGGTTGGAAAAAAGTTTAAGAACCACTGAAAAAAAGTAGCCCAGTGTACCTGTAGCCTATAATTAAAGTTTGAGTGGCCAGATACCATGTGCATTTCAGACTAATTTCCGTTCACATTGGTAAACATTGAGACATAAAAAAAAAAAAAAACTTGAACAAACCAAAGAAACGAAAGCAGAAATAGATTATTTTTTTTTAAAAAGTTTATACCTACATTGTACTTAGTAAAACTTTAAAAGCTTCAGTGTTAACCTAATTTTGTAGAATCTAAGTCTAAAGCGTGTACAAATGTAAAGTATGCTTACCGTTTATATAACGGTGAGCACTACAACAGGCTACAAATGAAACTGTCTCAGGGTCTGTAGCCGATTATTTTCTCTTTTACGTTTAAATTTCAGCAGTCAGAGCAAAGAAACTGCCTAGTTGTCGGACTAGTTTGTAATGACCCATTTCCTCAATCATTACCACCACCCTTTTTTCCTTTTTTTCCCCCCTTCCAAACCCACAATGAGATGGTCACGTGGTGTGAAACACTGCCGAAGAGCTAGCGGCAAGCAACTCTTAACTCACATTCCTTGCATTTGGTGACTTGTGGTGTAATTAAGTATGCCACTGAGAGGACACCCCACTTATTACATAAACAGTCGGGGCGATAATTCCAAACGATAACACCAGATATTTTGTGGTCCAGAGAAGAAGAAAAAAAAACACACAAAAAACTAAGTAGGCCATTCACTCTTTCGGCTCGGAGTTTAAGCTTGTGCATCTAAACTGGACCTGGGTACGAGGCCAACTGTTAGAAACAAAGCTTGGACACTAGACTATATCTGACCAAACCACACAACTTTGTAAATTCTGAATGGTATTAATGGGAATTCTTAAAGATATTATTAAGTTAGTTTTCATTCGATTTAAGCTAGGGGGTCCTCAAACTATTATCGGAACCAGAACCGTAGCGGGACTTTTGGAGGGCCACTAACACTTTTCGGATTTACCCCCACCCCCTCCCTTTTTTTTTTACACACTTACTTTTTTCATTTACAGTTGATATTTATTTTTTTTTAAATTGTTGATAATTAAACATGTTCCACTTCACAGTTCTGAGCCCTTAAAATAACCGAGCTCCACGTGATGACTCTGCAGGAAGACTGTCTTGATCAGGTTATCTTTTGACGACATTGTGTTAATCCATATTGACGCAAATAAAGGTGTGATGGGGGCAATGTTCCCTCTAAGGTTTGCTGGTTCGCGTGCAAAATCATAAAGTTGTGTGCAAAGTTTAACAGCAACATTTTTTTTGTGTGCAAAATTTTACAGCCCACAAACACACACTTACATGGAAATTTGCTGCGCGGATGCTCAAAACTGCTGCGTGGCGCCTGTGAGATAGCTGCGCGGCCGCGAAGCTTAAAAGGAACGTTGGATGGGTGATGTGGATCACACAATTTTGACGATGTGTCTATGTTGATAAACGAGTGGCCATCCACCCCGTGCTCGATCTTCAGAGGGGGCCAAAATCTTCATTTTACTTGCAAAATATGTTATATGTATTAATTTATTACTATTATTATTATATACTTGGTGGGGGGGGGGTTAGGGTTAGGGTTAGGGTTAGGGTTTCGAATGACTCATGGACTGACATTACACAGTAGCGGAATGTACTTAACAAGATGTTACAAGACCAGGGGTAGCTTGTCAGTGTTGCCTATGGCAATGTGTTATAGTTCTTTGACTCGGGCACAGCATTCAGTAGTAAGTATACTGATGCCATTGTAAAGCTACAGGAAGAATTTGATCACACGTTTGCAGACTTCAAAACACAAAGAGCCACTATTCGCCTTTTTTTTTTTTAAACCTTCCCCTTTAATGTGGAATATGCCCCCATTTGCGCTTCAAATGGATCTGATTGATCTTCAGTGCAATTCTAAGTTCAGGGAAGTCAATCGAAAATCTTACAAGCATGGACATTTGATGAGAGCATTTGCCCCCCCCCCCCCCNTAACTAAGCTGATGTCCTGTCCGTTCTTTCACCATACAAATACGCTACAGTAAATTAAAAATACACTAAAACATTACTAAAAAAATTTTACCCCCCCCCTAGAAAGTTAATCGATTTTTTTGCCCCCCCCCCCCCTAGAAAGTTTTCTGCCCATGAATACTAAATACGGACGTCTGGTAACCCTAACTTTGTTCCATTTCTACACCACCTTTGGGGTCGTCCATAAGCTGCCTCTTTGAGGTATGAACTATCGGCGAGTCTTTTGTTAAACGAGTATCCCCAGGCGCCCCAATGGAAATGGCGCCCTGTTCGAGGGCACAGGTCGCACGCCCTAAAGGCCGGCGTTTCACAGAAATCTTAAATGAAATTAGAGACCAGTTTGTACGTAAGCATGACAGCAGCCGTTATATCGTTCTAGTTACACTTACTGCAATGTGCTTATATAAGCTATTGATGCAACAGTAGGCCTATACAACCAGCGAATTTACGTAAAATATGTCACATGTGACGTAGGCTAACACTCCTGCCTTGTGCTAAATTCTTAAATAGGAAATGGTGCATGTGTTAGGATAATATTACCAGCTGGATTAATTAATTAGACATTTCGCAATTTGCTTTTTTTCATAAAAAGACACGAAGTATCAAGCTAACGGTGTTCATACTTCATACCATTGTAGTAACTGTCCTGCTATGGGTGCATCTTACAAAGACACCCTACATGAGCGATATCTCATAATAATTTCTAGGCCTTAATGTTAGCCCTCAGATCTCACGAGAGGCGTAGCGAGGGCGTTTGGCGCCCTGGGACAAGATCATTTTAAGGCACCCCTTTTTTCTTTTTTTCAACTCTCAAACCCATTATTTTCATCAATAAAATAATACCAAAGCACATTTTGGCGCCTCTAACTAGCTGGCGCCCGGGGACATCTGTACCCCCCCCCGCTACGCCTCTGGATCTCACACTGATTCTGCATGTAAGATGCTGTACGTGCTACAAGTTAAACACTGCCGCGTGATTTCTTTGATAACTAAATATTATTACAATAATATACTTTTAATTGCCTTTTGTATAACATTTCTTGGTTAAGTATATATAATCCATTCTTAGTTAAGTATATTTAGTCATAACCTGAAATTAGTGAATTATTCAACGTGTTTATGGTAATTGTAAGCTATGTAATTGAAGTTTAGTCAGAGCACCGTTAACCAGTACTATTTGTTTATTTTCAGATAGTGTCCTTTTTCTCAAGCTTTTTTCTTTAGCCTTTTTTTTTTTTTGGTTTTGTTTTTAGACCCAAATAAATCTATAGTCCTCAAGACCTGATTTTCTCAATTTTCTAAATAAACATATCTATATTACAACTGTCAGCCTCACATGGCCACGAGGCTAGCAGGGTTTAAAAGTGTGTCAACCAAAATAAGCACACACGCACACACCACCCTCCAGTGGCCACACTCACACTAGTACAAAAATATATAACACTAGTTATAGCCCGCCAAACATTGCAATGCGTGAACTTCCCATCTACTAAAGTTACTTGAAACAAAAAGTGAACTCAAGTTACGCATATTTAAGAATGCCAATTTTGCTACACCCCTTCCCCCGCCCCCCCCCCCTTTTTTTTTTCCCCATGATACGTCACGGTACACTTTTTATGTCACGCGGACCCATGACTTAGCAGACGCCGCGAGCTTGGCTGGCAAGCGAAGGTGGTGCAGGAAAAGGGGTTTTTTTTTCCCCATGATCCGCCACGGTAAACTTTGTATGCCACGCGGACCCATGACTTAGCAGACGCCGCGAGCTTGGCTGGCAAGCGAAGGTGGTGCAGGAAAAGGGGGGGGGGTGGGGTGGACGGTAGATCCACCGTAGTGCGCATGTCTCGAGACCAGTGATGGGTAGGGAAGGGAAGGAAGGGTTTGCCTGCGTCTTGCTTGCTCTGGCGTATCTATATAAAGACTGCGTCTTGGTCGTCTTCTGGTTTGCCCTACTTCTTCTGGTGAATTATATATATAGATGCATGCTAAAAAGGTGGTTTAGAAAATAATAATAAACCAATAAACAATCATGTAATTTTAAACATGAAGAACAAGTTAGAAAACGCATAGATAACAAAATCATTTATTTTGTCCACATACTCATAAGTAAATATATTCTTATTTATTATTTGAGTTTAAAAGTTTCAAATCATAGATATAAGACCAAAAAAATATTGTTATTTTTTTAGCTTAAATTAATTAATACGTATATGGTCATAGTAATGACATATTAATAAACCAATATATCAATGTACATAAGATAAATATATATTATGTTAAGATTTATTGCAAGAAGTATTGTCCTTTATAATTTCAACAAAAAATAACATAATATATGAGGTTATTTGTTAACAAGAATGTAAAATGATGCAGTAAGTATTTTTTTATTTATTATTGAACGCCTATAACTGTATTTCCAACAAGTGATCGCCACTAATCCCTGAGAGGAGTGGAATCATTAAACACCTAAATAAAAATAATAAATGATGCTCAAACTCAACAAAATTTCATGAAATTTATTTTGTAGGCAGCAATTTGTTTGATAAAACAGCCAGATGAATGAAAAGAATATATTTTTGTTTTACAAATGCATTTTCTTTTAAAGACTTTGTTTCCTTTGCAGTTTCAGTTCCCATTCAGAAATATATTTGCAATTTAAATTGAATAGATAATAATATTATATCAGAAAATCTCTGCGAGAACAAAAGTCTATTTCTATTAACTAATCGTTTAAAAAACTTTTTTTTGTGTTCATAGTCATATTACTGCATAATTAAAATAAAACAACAACTAACAACATTCTAAAAAAAAAAACGCTTGATACAATAACTAAGCTCCTCAATTAAGTACTTAAATAATTTAGAAATATGGAAATTGAATTGAAAAATTAACCAAAATGAGCACACAATTACACAAATTACGATTAAACATTTGAAAAATATTGCATTCGGAATAGATGTTTTTTTGTAAACATTTAAGATATTAATAAAATGGAACTAAAACCTTACATACATTGTCTACTACTTTATTGACTCATTAATTCTATGTACACTAGTTTGTAGTGTAGCTTTTTGAAAATATCTCATTAACTTTATATTTTTTTAAATGAATACAAATTGTATGCAAATTACTTTATTATTTCTCATAAATAATAACCTAACTAAAAAATACTCTATGTTCTACTGGTTCTAAAAAAATTACATTTCATTGCTCATTTAAATTTTTATATTTGTAATTACACGCTTATCTTCAGTCAAAATAGTAAAATTTAGATCAAAAAGTTCTATCCCACACATCGTGACATTTAACATTTCCAAAAATCAGCCCAATGGCACAGCACTTGTTTCAGTAGTTAGCCTCTTAACTGCCATAGCCAAAAGTGTAACAGTTGTTGGAGTGATTTCAACTCAAAAAACTCTGTTAAGAAATTTATTTTATATATATAACTGTAACCGTTGTAACTCTCAATATCAAAGGTAAAGTCCTAAATAATAGCCACAAGCATTAAATTACACTAATAACATGAGACATTTTAACAATTAAATATTGTTTGTATGTAAAAAATTGAAATGAATATAAATATACACACTGCAACCACTTTTGATGCTTTATTGCTCAGAAAAAACAAATAAAAGTAGAAACATTTTGTAGCAAAAATATAATAAATATATATATATATATATATTTTATACGATTGAACCCGTTTTTATGAACATTGTAACAACACATTGAGCCAAAGATATACTGCTGAACAAATTAAAAAAATTAAATCTATTTCTAATGTAAAAGTCCATGCACTTTTAGACATTAAGATTTAAAATTCAGTTGACAGTATCTGTAAATGTTTTGTCTGTAAGCACCCCTTATCCCCACTACTGATTTGGGGGTTTCAGTATTATTATTTTATTGGCCACCTGAGACAGAGGCGAGGACAAATTATGCTTTAATTACATTTTAATGCTTCTGATATATTTATAGTCATTTTTATTGTAGCTACTATTCTAGTGTCTCTGGTTTTTTCCTTTTTATTTTACTTTAGCAGTTTAAATAGGTTACATGTTTTCAGAGGCGTAGCATGGTGGGGGCAGGGGGGGACAGATGTCCCCGGGCGCCAGCTAGTTAGGGGCGCCAAAATGTGCTTTGATATTATTTTATTGATGAAAATAATGGGTTTGATAGTGGAATAAAAGAAAAAGGGGCGCTAAAAATGGATCTTGTCCCCGGGCGCGAACCTTGTCCCCGGGCGCCATACATCCTCGCTACGCCACTGCATGTTTTTAATAATTGTAAAGCGCTTAGAGCTGTAAGGTAAGCGCTATAAAAAATGCCTAATTAAATAAATAAATATATAGACTTGGGAAATTAACACCATTCTATTCATTACTTAAAAATGAACACCATGCTACTCATTACTTAAAAATCACAAAATATAGATTATTACAGATTTTTTTTTTATGAGCAAAATAAAACAAGGAACATGTGGAGATATTTTGAAGTGAATATTTTTGGTAAAACTCATATTAATTCAGTCTTCATTGTTTTAAATTCTCTGAATTAATACATCCAAAATTAACAATATTACATTTAGGGATTAAATGCATTATTAGGGTAAATGAAATCTGAGGTTTTACCTTGCACAATCTGGAGGTTTGAAAATTGATAAATAAGTTAACAATAACCAGAAATAACCAGAAGTGGCTAATTGTGAATTGAATCATAGAATTTGGAAAAAAACTCAGCTGTAATTAAAAACAATTTCTATAAGCAGTCACCATCAAGTTTAAAGATGTCATCAATGTCAATATAACCTTGACCCTGGCCTTGCACCATTTCAAAAACAATGCTGAACTCAAAATCAGATGATGGGAGGGTGACATGAACCGAAGTCCAAGAGGTGGGATCTGTGAAAGCATTCAGTCTTGAAGACCAGAATGAACAGTCAAGACTGTCATTGCCATTGACTGAGAGCAGCCTGCATACTTGAAGGAATCCTGCACTTCTTGAACTCGCACGGAATTCGAAGCTCACACACATTGAGATGTAGGACTTGAGCCTTGGTGACAATATCCTGGCCCTGTAACCTTGGTAGCCAAAGGCATTCTGGGCCCTGAGGAAACCATCTGGGAAACAAGATGATGTCTAAGAATATCATACTGTTGAGTTACAGTTGTGTCAATGAACCTATACAGTGCAGTTGTGTCAATGAACCTATACTCACAGTTGCATCAATGAACCTAAAGGGTACAGTTTTGTCCATGAAACTTTATGGTACAGTTGTGTCAGTGAACTTATACTGTTCATTTGTGTCAATGAACATATACAGTAAAGTTGTGTCAATGAAGCTATCCTTGTCTTTATATTAAGTTAAAATTAATCTGGAAATCTAGGAGAATGTACTAAGGGTGCCATTTCTCTTATCAATTTGACTGATAATAATAACAATAAAGAGATCAAAGCAAACTGTCGTCTAAAATAATGTTAGACACCAGTGTCTCAACATTTAGTATGAGAGGGCTATTTCTTTTATTTTCAAAATTGTTCAAACGTAAAAGATAATGGTAACACTGAAATTGCTTTATGCATTTTCTCAATTAAAACTAAAATAATAAAATGTTTGCTTTCAGTTCTAAATGGGATATTTTTAGTTTTGCTGGAAACTTACCACCATTTTCTTTATCTTGAACCATGAGCCAATCAAAGTCATCAGTAAATGATTCTTGGGTGTAACTACAGATTTCATCATTAAATTGAGGCGTTGATTTTGTCCTATTGTCAAAGTTGCAATTGACTTTCATTGTATCTAAGAGGGATAAAACTTTCTTTTAAATTGATTGAATATTACAACATCAGCCACAACAATATGTTTCTGGAAAATTTTCTAAATTTAAATTATATAGTGAACTATTTACATTATTGGAGTTTTTCCAAGGAAGCCATTTCATCCCAACCAGTAGCACACTAGAGGCAACCTCCAATTTTAATTAAAAGAGAAACATTTTTTGTCATGTGTTTGCTTAAGGTTGGAAATTATATTGACTTTAATCCCATGAAGTGCTTGGGTAAAAGTCAAGAAAACTGGCCTTAATACTTGTGTGGGTGGGCATAAGTGTGTTATACTTTCCATGGTTTCTGCTTTGTGAGCCTATTCACAGTAACATATGCAAATGATATAGACTGTTGGATGAATAAGTCAATCTTTAAATGAAGTTTTAAAAATTTATGGTGCCGAAAAATATTGTTTCTAATAATTTGTCAACTTCTTTGTTTTGAAGTTAACAAATGAGAATTGAGATACAAAAAAATGGTACCAATGGTGGCTTTTAAAAAATGGAAAAACCAAAACCAAACATACAACAATATTCAAGAATTTAATTGTTATAAATGTGAAAAAAGACAATATACTTTCACAAACACCAGGCTCAAGTGTGACATCGTCTAGTCCTATTCCTCCCCCTGACCATTGGCCAGATGTAGATATAAACTGTATATGTTGTGTTGACATGGGAATGTCCACATTAAATCTGAATTAAAGGGTAGTATTTTGAAGAATTTCAAAGGTTAGCCAAAGTATATGATAAAATATAACCCAAGTCTCTAGAAACAAACATTTCAGACAATTACTTTCATATATGTTATTTAATGCATATTTGAACAACAATATAAATATGTCACTATTTCATTTAAATCAAAGCATTCAGAAATAATTAAAATGACATAACATGTCACATAATTTTAAAAAAAATAAAAACTCTCGAACCATCACCTTAATGTCGAAAAATAACCTATTTCTCTTTGGAAACAACCAATTTTTAAAATCACTTTCATATTTTTCATTTTATACGTAAGTCAACAAAAATATAAATATGTGATCATTTCATTTCAATCAAAGCATTCAGAAATAATTTAAATGACATAAGTCACCTAATTTAAAAAAAACAAAACATAAAAGCTCCCTAACCTTAACCATGATGTTGAAAACTTGGAAGATACTTTCAGCAAGGCACCTGACAAGTTGCCCAAGCTGTCAACCACTTTCACCTCAAGTTTGCAAAGCTCACATTGGTATATGATTGTGCTTGCATACAAACAGGATGTGTCCTCCTTAGCTGGCAGAGGGGGAGAGCTGAGAACAGCACTCTTCTGGCTGGCTCCATATGGGAAATATGTGTATACATAGTGACCTATTTGTTATAAAATATTAAAACTTATTTATGCATTTATTTATTTTTTATCTTAATTTAAACCATGACTATGTTAGGAAACACTTAAGAATAAATACATCTCCAGGAAGATTAGAATTGGAAGATGGCAATATTTTCATGTAACTTACTTTTCATTTCAAATTTATGAGCAACTCTAACTAGTGTTACTGAGAAAATATGGGAATTATTTAGCTTAATGACAAGATATTTCTTTTTACTTATAACTTGGATATATAACATCTTTATATATTTTCGATTACTTAGTAAACTTCACCAGCTTTCCATAAACTAATAAAACTTAAAGTGTTTTTTAAATTCATTAATTATTCCATAATGCTCATGGCTCATTAAAAAAAATATCTCACCTGATGCATTTTTCAATGTGTTGTCCATGTCTGGCATTATTGGATAATGGACTCCCCCAGATCTCCGACTCCAGGCAAACTCACTCTGAGACTTACTTGTGTAACCACATAAATCTGGATGCTCAAAATCACAGGTGACACCTTCTTTGTCTGCAAGGTATACATTTATCATTTCATTCTGCAGGTTTGAAAATTTGATGACTTCAATTTCAATCTATCAATCAATATTTTCTGTTTCAAAAATAGTAGAAATTGCAGTATTTTTTTATCATGTCTTACTAGTTAGATATTGTGTTACATTATTTTCATCATGAATATTTTCAGTGATGACATTTTTAAATGGTTATGGATGAGCAAATTGAAGTATTTAATTTTTTTTTGTAAGGATTAACATGCTAAGTTTAGATAATTGATATTACCAAAAATATTTATTAAAAAAAATTCCAATGAGTTTGTTTATTTACTTGCATAACTAGTAACACTTTGAATCCACTGAAGATAGTAATCCACTCTTGTGTATACACCTGGCTTCCCAATCTGGCCACAACCTTCCCCCCAACTAACAATACCAACAAGTTCCCATTGGTCAGGCTGCGTCTGGCACATAAGTGGTCCTCCACTGTCTCCCTGAAAGAGGCACATGTCATTAAGATAACTGCTATACAAATTTCTGCTTTCTACATTTAAAGAGGGTGAAAACAACAGAAGTATGAAACTGTTTTCTTCACAACCTCAATGCCTTGTTTAAACATTATGTGTAATTTGTAAATATACGTACTGTTAGTATAGTTTTGTTGTTATCCATTTAGTAAGTTACCACATGAAATTGTAACTGATAATTTTATTTTAAGGATTACATTCTGAAAAATTTCAGTTGACAAACACATTCTTAAAAATCAAAATCTGTAAGAATCCACAGGTTGACAATCATTAAAATTTGTAAGACTTAACAAATCTTAACACTTACTTTACAAGCATCCATCTCCCCACTGTAATATCCAGCACATAACATGGTTGGTTTGATCTGACCAGGGTAAGACCTTTCACACTTGGACTGTTCCCAAATTTTGAGCTTTGTGTGATGAAGTATTGTGCTTAGCTCAATAGTGGCTATGCCTGTTGACCAGAGAAATTATTTTAAAATGTACTTAAATCGTTTTAAATAATTTAATTAATACCCTACAGACAATATTTAATAGATTTTATGGTCTCATGTGTGCTAAAAGATAAGCTTTATGAAGCAAATTCATTAAAAAATAAATCCCATAGCAATCAATTTTAACCTATTGTCAGTTTGGAAACTTGAATACTTTAAGAAACACATAATTTACTATTTAATTTTAGTGCATCCTTTACTTAATTTTACATTAAAAGTTATACTCTAATTATGCAGGGGTTGCCACAGTATAATTTCTGCACTGCAGGCTTTTTGCAAGACTTTTGATCTTCTCTCATGGTAAAGCTGCTAAGACATATATAACTATATAGACTCTAGAATGTTAATAAACAAGGATTATTAGGGACAAAATTAAGGGATTATACATGTAAATGTGAAGTCATTTTTCTATTATCCATTTAAAACTAATAATATGAATCCGCAAAATATACGAAACAATCTTTCATACTTTCCTCTAATTCTTATGTTCAAAATGGTCACACAAAAACTTTATGTATAAGTTCATGAGCCTAACCCACCTGTTACATTGACAACACCCCAGCCAGAAACATAACACGGGAGGCTTGGACTCCTTTCTTTAGGAGCATCACTGAGACAGATGGGACGTTGCTTGTCATTTAATGTAACAGGCTCCTCCAGTCTCAGGAGGGCAATGTCATTGTTGTAGATGTAGTTGTTCTCAGGGTGAATAACAATCTCAGTCACACGTACCATGACAGCATCAGGTGAGTTGATGTTGACATGGCCCACAAGAATGGTTGTTGTTTGAGGAGAGTCCAGCATGCTAATGTATTTTATTTTTGTAGTTTATAAAAAAGTTTGTCTGTACAATTTGTCATTGCAATTTATCTGTCTGCAAAAATGTGATTTTTTTTCCAATTTTGATTTAAGTGTTTATGTTTAAATTTAAAATTAATATTTAAAATTGCATAATCACTTCTTTTTTTTTTACCAGTACAATATTAATTCTTTCTTTATAATATTTTGAACTGAATTTTTTTAAAGTTTCTTTAGGCCAATCTAAGGAACAATAAGAATACATTGTTAATCTATATATTATTAGATAGACTAAGTCATCAAATATAAACACATGCACTCACTTGTATATACAATGTCCAGCAGTTACCACCCAGTGGTCAGATACTAGACTAGCACCACACCTAAAGTAAGTTCCAGAAAAGACAGCTGCTGTCCAGGGCCATTGGCCATCAACTGAGCCACTAGATCCTACCACATAGGGTTGGGGAAGGTGGGCTTCTCTATGTCCACATTCTGTTGATATGTAAGATGGAGACATTGTTTAAAATAAACACACAAGCAATGACTGTATTTAAATTTTAGGAACATTTCCCTGATTATTCCAAGCTGTTGATTTTATTCAATTAGCTTTTCCAACAACTTCAATATTGATTTTAGGATTTAAATTATATTGATTAGATGTTGTTACGGCCATATCGTGCGTTTATGCTATATGTCTGGTTATTAATTGTTTCAATGAGCAATGATGTTTTCTTTAGGGGCTTCCCCATGTGTCGCACCACTTTTTCTCAATCATGAAAGCGCTATGACGCATTTCCGGGGGTGCGATATATTGGTGCGGAGAAGAAGAACGCAGATTTTTTGTTAAGGGGGTCAGGCTGTGTTTGTTTCAAGAAATGACTGATTGGTTACACTAGTTCCAGGAAGTTAAACTCTGTCACAGATGAACAGTATTGTTGATGGTTTGGTTGTCGTGCATTTTTTTCTTGGCACAAAACATTAGTAATTAAAGTATATCTGTTACTTCAAACTCTATCGTGAAGTTTTTTCGATCAGAAAGAAAATGGAGTTTAGGCTCTGATTTGATAGTGTGTCTGTGGCCGTTGGAAGAGGGACCTACCCCTAAACAACATTTTGCCACAGATGTATAATTTTAAAAAATCTTGCTAATAGAAATAAAATCCATAATAATTAACAATTTAGTAATGATAGGTAAAACAGTGCTTATTCTTAATTAAGCAAATCTTTTTGTAACTTATAATATTGAAAGTGCCTACCTTTAACAGAACAATTAAGTTTGATCACAACATTCCCATCACATGTAGCACTATAGATGCACAATAGTTCATTAAATAAAGAGAGAGATTAGAATAATACCTGAATGAAAATTTAAAAACAAATGTTCCACTAAATGAGATTTTTGTGGAGATTGTTAAAGAAGAATACTCATCCAGATAAGGCAGAAAAACTAGTAGATAAGGAATGATAATTTGTAAACATAGCATTTGAATTATTTTTTTTAAAAGCTTACAAAATAGTAATTAAATTACACATACCTAACATGCTGAAGGATGGAATATTTAGATGCTGCTGATTGGCTACTTTCATCAATATTATCCTTTTCATTTATGTTGACAGTCAGATGTAAAAAATATACAGCAAGTGGCAAGGTCATATTGCTGATTGAAAGTAGGCTCCTATTAAGCAAGATAATAAGGGGGGAGACTGCAATCAGGTAAGGAAAAGGGAAATGTGTAAAACAAGGTTAGGGGAAAAAACAATAAACATGTCTGCAATTAATCTTTTTCAGCTAACATTACAAAAAAAAAAAGAGTTTTAAAAAAATAAAATATTTTTTCTCTTTGTTTGTAGTTTTTGCTGAAGAAATTAATTAATTAACTTTATTTTAAAATATTTTTAAACTTTTACCCTTCTCCCAAACTTGAACAAGCCCATAATGCATTTGTTTCCTGAAAATCCCGAACATCCCATCCATCAGCACAGACAGGAAACCATTCTCCTTCCTTCATTATTCTTAGTAATCCATCTTGATCAATTTTTGCTAAAAGAGTGTTAAAAAAATAAATATAAAAGCAATTGCATAAGAATAAATACATCAAATAATATATTTAAATATTCCACTTTAAAACATGTAATGACTAAAGCAATGAATATTTAGTTAATTATTTCTATGTTTAGTAATTGAATTTTTTTTTTTTTGCCAAGCACATATTTAAAATATAAAATATTTGGATTCTGAGGTAAGAAAGATTTTTTATTTGCTCACTGCAGTGACTCTCATCCTCCCAATGGGGGCACTGGGTGATACCATCACAGACATGGTATGAGGCGAGACAGGATTTATCAGAACAGGTAAATTCATTGTCTCCACAAGTTTCTGTAACAACCAAAAAATTTAATTCATTAAAACATGCATAATTCAGAAGATAATTCTTTGTTTTGAACAGTTACCATGATATCAAAGTTATTTATATTCTGATTTAATAGAGATGATAAATCAATTTTTTAATATTTTTTTTTCAAATTAGCAAAAAACTCACCACAGTTTTGTTCATCTTCACCTAAAGGACAGTCTAGTTCACTGTCACAAAACCACTCAGGAGGGATGCACACTGAGCTCCCTTTGCAGGGGACTCTACTGACAGAACATTCTAGGATGCAGTAAGGGGGATAACGTTGTATAGCTTTTACAAATGTAGCACTGAAGAGCAATCAGGTTTGCTATTTAAATTAATTATAAATCTGAAAACGCCCCTACCAAATATTTCGTTTTAAAATAATATTTTTTCTGGAATTAACATAAATTCAATCGATTTAGCCTATTAATGTTTGAAATGAGATTGAAGAATTATTTATGTATTTTGTAAGCATGTGCTCTGTAACTTCTGAATCAATAACTTAACATTTTAAAAAATTATAGTTTATATCAAAAGATTAAATGTGAGGTGATTGATGACAATTGCTATTTTTGTACTGCAAATGAATATGTTCTAAATGCAATCTTAAAGAAACACTTTTGATTCAGACATGTTTAAAAAAAAAAAAAAAAGCATTGTGTGCAACTCTTTGTGCGGAGGGCTACATTGACAAATTTAAAGCTTTTCGGGGCTGTATGTATATTATGTCCAATTTTTACATGTCGATAAACATTTATCTAGATTAAAATCGGTAAATTAGCATTTTAGCATTACATGACAAAAGTCAAGGACTGTTTAAAAAAAAAGAAAATTGGAAAGAAATTTGATCAAAAATGTTGAAACAATCATAATGGTACATGAAAGTCTGTACAATTCAACACAATAACTTTAAAACAAAGTCATTTTTTAAAAATATTTCTAAATGCTTTCGAGGACCACATAATATCATTTTCTAGGGCGCATGCGGCCCGCGGGCTGTAGTTTGCCCACCCCTGGTTTAAAATATAAAATCAATTCATAAATATCCTAGTGATATCTGACAATTTTTAAAAAAATCTTCTCATAATCCTTTAACTTAAAAGCCTTTAGTAAATGATTTTTCTTATCTTACCTGATTGAATATTAATGGCATCCAGGATAGAATAGGTTAAACTGAAGCCAGACATGGTGACCATCCTGTCTGTTTCAAACACAATCTCCAAACCGTGATCCATGGATGTTATGTTTCCTGGTAGCCCGTGGCCACAATAACGACCAATCAATGCCCTTTTATCACCCGTGGTGTTATAGACTTCCAAGAAATCATACAAACACATGGGACTTGACTCCAAATTGAAACTTGTAAAGTAAAGGAAGATGGCCTGAAAATGGTAAAACATAGATGGAAACACTTTTATTACATTTAAAAAAAAAAAAAAAAGATGACAATCAATTAGTTGAGTTCAATGTGATGTAATTTTATGGCTGCCAATTATTTCAGTTCATAGATAGTTATTTGTTAAATTTTGCAGAACCCTAAAATTGTTTTATCACCCGTGGTGTTATAGACATCCAAGAAATCATACAAACACATGGGACTTGACTCCAAATTGAAAATTGTAAAGTAAAGGAAGATGGCCTGAAAATGGTAAAACATAGATGGAAACACTTTTATTACATTTAAAAAAAAAAAAAAAGATGACAATCAATTAGTTGAGTTCAATGTGATGTAATTTTATGGCTGCCAATTATTTCAGTTCATAGATAGTTATTTGTTAAATTTTGCAGAACCCTAAAATTGCTTTATTTACCCCCTCCCCCACCCCCGGTCAAGAATATACGAGGAATTCATTTTCTGGTTAATATCGTCAGACTATGCACGTGGATAATTTTAATATAGCGATCGACAGGTGAGCAATCTTTACCTTTCCTTCTGCTCCTTCGATGACCCATTTACATTTGATATCGACGGGGTACGAGGTTCCAGCAGAGAAGCCAGGGGAAGTAATTGTTCCTGAACTTCCACTAATAACTGATGGGACTCCAGAACAAGCACTTTCCAATTCAGGATAATATGTGGGAGTCGATGTTTGATATTGTAACGTTAGTGTTGTTGTTGATATTGTAATGGGTGTTGGTGCTGTTGTGGTGGATGTGGTTGTTGTGTTAGGTGTGGTTGTTGTGGTAGGTGTGGTTGTTGTGGTAGGTGTGGTTGTTGTGGTAGGTGTGGTTGTTGAAGTAAGTGTGGTTGTTGAAGTAAGTGAGTTTGTTGTGGTAGGTGTGGTTGTGGTGCTAGGTGTGGTTGTTGTAGGTGTAGTTGTTGTGGTAGGCGTGGTTGTTGTTGTTAAAGTAGGTGTGGTTGTGGTTATTGGGGTAGGTGTGGTTGTTGTGGTAGGTGTGGTTGTTGTGGTAGGTGTGGTTGTTGTAGTAGGTGTGGTTGTTGTGGTAGGTGTGGTTGTTGAAGTAGGTGTGGTTGTGGTTGGTGTGGTTGTTGTGGTAGGTGGGGTTGTTGTGGCAGGTGTGGTTGTTGTGGTAGGCGTTGTTGTTGTAGTAGGTGTTGTTGTAGGTGTTGTTGTTGTCGGTGATGTTGTTGAAGTATGCGTGGTTGTTGTAGCAGGTGTTGTTTCTTCAGTTAGCCTTGACGTAGACAAAGGTGTCGATGTTGCAGATGCCCCTGTAGAATCCAACTCTGGCGTAGCGGCCACTGGGTCAATTCTGAGTCTAAATCCCCGCTTAGAGGTCACGTGGTCAGAAACAAATCTAATCAGCATTGCCGGACCGGACGTCACAAACTCTTGATCTAAAAGAATGCCACACATCCGGGCTAAAGATTTGGAATTCGGGGAAACCCCGTCGAATGAAATGACGTAGTCGTAAGAACATCCAAGGCTCCACTCTGTCTCAAAATCTAAGACAGTTACTTGAAGTCGCTAAAAAAATGAGAGATTTTGTTTGCTTCATTTAGAATATTAGATAATGTCAAGGCAAAAATATGAATACAATTTTCATCAAATACCGTAATGCAAAATCAGTAAGAAAAAAATAATTGTTTTTTTAATCAGCTAACTATTTAAATGGATTTGTATTGAAATTTTACTCTATCACATGGCGGCTTTCGATATCTCTACATTTATTCCAGTGCTATAAACACACATATTCTGATGAAGGTTTGAGCTGATATTCTTAAAACCCCAGCTAGCACAATGGCGACCAGCTCCATCTGCTGGGCTGTGCCGGGTAGCACATTGGCGACCAGCTCCGTCTGCTGGGCTGTGCCGACTAGCACATTGGCGACCAGCTCCATCTGTTGGGCTGTGCCGGCTAGCACATTGGCGACCAGCTCCGTCTGCTGGGCTGTGCCGACTAGCACATTGGCGACCAGCTCCATCTGTTGGGCTGTGCCGGCTAGCACATTGGCGACCAGCTCCGTCTGCTGGGCTGTGCCGGCTAGCACAGTGGCGACCAGCTCCGTCTGTTGGGCTGTGTCGGATAACATCGCTGTCACGTAGGACTCTCCCGCCGCCCTAGGCACCACTGAAACATCTACTGACTGGCTACTATGCTACTAACGCATTTATTCTGGCGAGGATCTGAGATTACTCTCATATGACCCCGGCTAGTCGGCCTACATTGGCTGTCAGCTCCATCTCCTGAGCTGAACCATATAATATTTTTCTCAAGTAGGGCTCTCCCGCCTTGGCTTCCCCCGGAATATCTAGAAGCCAAAAAAACCCACGTACAAAGTCTATCTCCCAAAGCGAAGGAGAGAGCTTGCCTCTGTGAGTTCTCCCCGGGGGAAGGTAAAAGAAAAAAAAAAAAAAAACCAACAAGTCATTATTCTTTCATACGGCTACTATGCTACTACAGTGCTCGAGTTAATAAAAAAACATATTTAAAAATGTTAAAAATTCTTTAAAAATCGTTTTAAAGGGACGCAACTAGAAGGTATGGGGGGAAAACGGCAACCTTGTTTCACGAGTCTCTCTTGCTTGTTGCCAGTTTGATCATGCAATATTTCAATGCTTAATGGGATTTAAAATTTAACAAAAGTCTTATTGATCAAGAAATTTAGGTAAAAGAACGGTTTGGGCTGGTCAAAAGTCAAGACATAACAATGGACCACAAAAATAAGTTAAGAACGAATTTTTAGCTCTAAGAAAGCCAGGAGCCTAGAAAAAAAAAATGTGGACCACAAAATGTTCAAAACCTGGCAATCAAACAAACTTAATTAATTGAAAAGGAGGGATAAAAGAGGGATAAAAATAAATTGGCGCGAAATCGTTATCAATACAAAACACCATCGGATAAAATGATAAAATGAGATGTTGTGATAAGAGAACGTGCCATGTCATCTTGTGTGAACAGCCTCATGTCACACGTTGTTTCTGCGGGGTACTGTCCCCCTGAGTAGCCCGGTGACGTGACAATCACGTGACGGTCGTCGACAACCTCAATCAAAGAATCACACATGGAAGCCTCATCGTCAGGATAGTTCTCGGGGACAGCAGATTCTGGGGGAATGAAAGGAAATTAACATCACACATTTTGGAATAGCATTGAATACAAAAGAAATAAAAAGCATTTTTAACGCACGCCCCCCCCCCCTTTTTTCCCACCAAATTTTTTTTTTTATAAAACTCACCTCATTCTATCAAGCGTTAATCAATCAAAATTAACCTTTTAATTATTATGCTAACTTAAAACAATTCCTTAAGTGCATGTACCGAAAATCGATTTAATCTGACGCAGTGAGTCGAAACATAGACACGTTTTGTATTCCCCAACCATGGTGAATGATAAATGTTTGACTCGTCGTGTTACCAAGGCAACCGCCCAAAGTTACCAGGGCAACCGACCAAAGTTACCAGGGCAACCGACCAAAGTTACCAGGACAACCGACCAAAGTTACCAGGGCAACCGACCAAAGTTACCAGGGCAACCGACCAAAGTTACCAGGGCAACCGACCAAAGTTACCAGGGCAACCGACCAAAGTTACCAGGGCAACCGACCAAAGTTACCAGGGCAACCGACCAAAGTTACCAGGGCAACTGCTAGCCATTGACTCACCCACAGATTCTATTCTGAGTTGAAATCCTAGGCCTGCGTTTTTTGAACCGGTCACAAAGGTCAGCATCATCACGTGATCTTCCGTTGACAGGTCTGAGGCAGGCAGACCACACATTTTGCCTGATTGGGTAGAATGGAAGGAAATCTCCAGCCAGTCAGAATCGCAGGTCTGTTGTTCTCCAAGATCCATGGACAAAATCCTGGCATTGAGCGCCTAGGACGTCAGCGAATCGATAATATTGAAAGAAATAGACACATTTCAATTGAACATAGAAAGTACGTGTATAAGTTATGCCTCTATATTCTATATAAATAAACACAAATTTAGTGTTAACCAGGAGTAAACCAGACGGCGTCAGATGCCTCTTAGAGGGATGAAGCCCAAACATATCTTGGTCCTTGAGAAAGATGCCATACGCATTGGTATACTCATTAGCATGCTCATTAGCATATCCATTAGCAAACGCATTAGCATACTCATTAGCATACTCATTAGCATACCTTAATAAAATGTACTCCCGAAGGTAAGCACCCTAACTCAAACATACACATTTTTTTTTTTTAAATTACACACCGGTAACCTCCAAAAGTACCGCACGCGGTTATCACCTTCTTCGCACTCCCCCTAGGTACGCCACTGCCTTTACAATAATATAGGCATAGGCTAGTAAGTTACCAGGCAGTCAATTGTAGGGCGACATCTGGCCATTTGTTTTCTTGACCTTTAACCCCCCACCCCCCCCCCCCCCCCACCCCCCCCCCCCCCCNATTATCTGCAGCCATCACCTCCAGTGAAAGACTCAGAATAAAAATGACAAGAATGCCACAAATCCTCAAACGAAAAATAATACAAATAATATAAATCTTTTATATGCATTTATCTTTTGCATTTATGTTGATTGATGATCTATGTTGATTGATGATTTATGTTGATTGATCATTTATGTTGATTGATCATTTATGTTGATTGATCACCCAGTACAGTAATGCTTTGTGAAAGCTTGTCACTTTGTGAGCGTATCGTTTTAATGATAAATATATTTACATGTAATATTTCGCGACTGCCTTTCATGATATAGATCTAATAAACAATCTAAATTTTATTTCCATCCAACAAATTGCATGAAATCCCGTTATTTTTATCCCCCAATTGACCAACTGGTTGTGCGCCCACACTATCATTGTACTCCCAATATCATTTTACAACCACCATTATTGTATGCCCACCATTATTGTATGCCCACCATTATTGTATACCCACCATTATTGTATGTCCACCATTATTGTTTGTCTACTATCATTGTCAACGGTATCAACCTAAAACATATTTTAGCGTCTCTGAGTATCCGGACTTCGTGTCTCGTGTTTAGATGGGAGCATCCGTGTGTGTGTGTGTGTGTGTGCGTGTGCGTGTGTGTGTGTCCCCGTGACTATCTGTGGTACAGCCACTAACTAGTATGTGCAATGATCACAAAATCCCCATTGGGCGGGACAGTGAATCGGAAAGTTGCCCTGGCCGAACGCTGTACGAGTACGAGAAACCCAACACGTTATTTGGTGACACAGCCAACTCGTGTCATGTGAGCGGGTTTCGGCAGTATTCGCGTTAGAGTCTGCATTCTATTTTGTAGTTTGAGAGTAACGATTAAGAACCGTATTTTATGAGACTGAAGGCAAAACGTGATGTTAGTCAGCCCGGCCTCTTTTCCTTTAAAACAAATATTTCTAAAAAGGCATCTTACGCACTTGCTTCTAATAGGAGAAATTAATCTCCTATTTTAATTTTATTGGCTTGCTGTAAACAGTGCCTAACCAAGGACGATACCATAGAGTCAACAATAGTAAAGATACCACACCCTAAGCAGTTGCCAGTTACAATTAATAAGATTTATTAAGTCTTAGTTATAATTACAAAAGAAAAGAAAATGTAATGACAATCTTCAACTTACAGTATGGTAGATCTTGTACCTGTACACAGTTAGTACAATGTGCCAATGAATAATGATGAATGATCAGTGTGAATAAACACATATAGGCACACAAATACACAAAGAATAATACACGCCTCGTAAAGTTAACATATGTGGGTCTACCGACGCGCCTAGAAACGCCTTTACTTTTCCAGAACGAATCGAGAGCCTTCGATAAGACACTAGGAGGCATACTAACCAATGTGTCATTGGCCGTCAGTTATAAACAAGATACATCAAAGAGAATTTAAACCACGCCCACAACAAACGCTACCGTCTGCTAGGGATCTAATTTAGGTCAAAGCAAAGTTCAGCACGGGGATTGTGTGCTACATAACAAGGCATTTGATGGCTATTAAATGTAAAATATAAAAGATTATTATTTTTTTTCAATGGGAAAAAAAAAAAGGAAGGCCAACCTTTTGCTTGTCTGTTACCACAACGACGTCGCATCTCATCGATGCCCGGGAGTTCTGTGCCCCGCGGTAAGGGGACTCTACAATGACTTGACTGCCAGCCATGTGGTAGTAGGTTCGACTGCACATGGTGAGGACTGGAGGCGAGGCGCGTTCAGTGCTCAATACACCCGAGTCCGGTGTTGATTCAGTGGTGGAGTTGTCAGGATACAGTATCGTCAATTGTGTCGTAGGTATTGAATAATCGTGGGGGTTAAACTCGGAAGCTGAGGACTGTCTTGTAAGTTCAGGGGTCGGAGGATATTCGTTAGGTTTTGAATTTTCGAATGATGTCGAAAGGGAGGTCATCTGTGTTGTGTCTGGTGAATTTGTTGTCCGTCGGCCGTCGGTGGTCTGCCCGCTTCGTGGAATAAACTGTAGACTTCCGGTGATGCCGTTTGCCTGGATGATGCTGTCGGATGAAAATATGACGAGTTTCGGGCCCTCTATCGGTAGAGGTTCGGGGACAAGTGGGTCACAGAAATCAAAGCTGTAATCCGGGTACATTTCCTCCCCTTCGATGACGCGTAACTTGTCATAATGACACAGATCGTAACGTTCCTGTTCGCTCAAGTCAAACTGAATCAAAACTTCCTGCAATAGAAATTATTGAAAACATGAACTTGAGCAGAACCACACAATGAAACAAAAAATGTTGTTGACTTGGTGTGCTCTCGTGAGATTAAAAATAATGTGAAATGTTTAAATTTTAAAATTCCATATTTTTCAACTGCACAAAAAAAATACCCCAGCTGTTACGTATTGACAGTGGCGTAGCCAGGGGAGGGGGTCCAAATTCGAAAGTCCCCCGGGCCCCTGCTTGAATGGGGGCTCCCAAAGGCATGTCCGAATTTTTTTTTTACATTACATAATGTCGAATGTCAAAATGCAGGGGCCCCTAAAGAGGCCAAGCCCCTCGGGCCCCCAAATCCCTAGCTATGGCACTCCGTATTAATTCGCTGTCGCTGTATGTCTTCATTTGTTCGTTTTGCGTGAGAATAAACAAATAAACCCCTAAACATGCTAAGAAGTTATAGCTCGATTGAAGTTTAAGCCACAGTTGAATTATTAAAAATGATTGCAGACTGGATGTATCCTAACTTGAAAACCATTTTTTTTTTTCAAAACGAAAAGTTTGCGAATAGAATTTAATAAATAATTTGTAACCAGTAGCATGAGAGATAAATGAATTACATGGAAACTGTCACCCATCACCAGCCATCTGCAGACCGTGTTTGTTGGATATTGCCATCGGGGGCCAGCACCAGAGGGCGTGAATATCATGACGTCACTCTGGATGAGAACCGGAAATGAAGTGCATGGAATTTTAGGAACGTTGGGTGCGCTCCTTTTCCGACGACTAGGGTCCTGGACAGCCAAGGTGGTGGTCAAATTGCTTGATTCTGATGAATTTATCAAATGTTCATTGGTGATTAAAATTTTATGCAAGTTTTTTCAGTCATTTTTTAAAAAAAAGTGACATATATTTTTTAACCATGTTTCTTAAATAGATACTATAAAGTAAGGTCACACTACCCGCTAGCTGAACTTTAACGGCGAATCCACGTTTCTGCACCAGCATGTCCGAAATAAACCGTAAGCAGAAGATTCTGCCAGAAGTGGCTATGGGTGCCGGCAACGCGTCGCCGCAATGCAAACTGGGATGCAGGAAATCACAAGTCCCACTATCAACTAGCAGTTTGTCAAACTGGCACGAAGATTGATATTCTATGTCCATATCAGAAAACTTGGCTACCAGGGGCTAAAATATTGAAGAAATTTTTGTGTGTTAAATTAGTAAACAAGATGCTAGAGTATATTTAAAAAAACATATATACCGGTATATAGTTTTGTTATTTCCATAGTTGGGACATTTTTAAAGTATAAAATATCTGCTGTTATTTACCAACACACTGAAATTGTGTAAGAGCGCAGTGATTTACTAAACTATAATCTCTCTCTATAAAAATGAAAGTCTGTATTATGTATGTACGTATGTCCCGTATACCATTCATCCGATTGCGATAAAACTTTGGTGAGCTGTTGTGATCACGCCCGAAAAGGTTTCTGAACTTTTACAACCATTTTAAAATATTAAATTTTGAGCCAGGGGTCCCAAATTCGTTTTTTTTTTTTTTTATGAGCCATATAAATATAATTTCAAACAGAGCTAATGCATGGGTGCATAAAATTATAATCAAATACAATTAGAAACATTAAATTTTGTGTATGACACAATAAGAATTGTTTCTGAAGTAATACAGCCATTCTACAATATTCCGTTTGTGGCCGGGGACCCTAAATTTGTTTTCCCTCTTAAATTAGTTATATGAATATAATTTCTGTATGCGTTCCTATACCATTCATCCGATTGCGATAAAACTTTGGTGAATTGCTATGCGCCCGCCCGCGAAGGTTTCTAAATTAGTGCAACCATGTTAAAACATTGCGTTTCGGGCCGGCGGCTGTTACTTCTTTTTTTTCTTATACGAGTTGGATAAATATAATTTAAAAAAGAACGAATGAATTGGTGGATGGAGTTGTAATCAAATACCAATAGCGACATTTCAATTTGTGAGTCACATAATAAGTAGGTTTCTGAATTAGTACAGCCATTTTACAATGTTCCATTAGGGGCCCGGGGCTCTAAATTTGTTTTATATGTACTAAATATAATAAATAATTTCAAACATATCTATTCCATTGGTGGATCAATCGCTACAAGTGTGTGGACTAAATTTTGAAAATCCATGCTTCTCACGTGGACAGCTGTGTGTGGCCTGCTCACACGGACAGCTGCGTGTGGCCCTGCTCACATGGACAGCTGCGTGTGGCCTGCTCACATGGACAGCTGCGTGTGGCCTGCTCACGTGGACAGCTGTGTATGGCCTGCTCATGCATCGCAAAACCTTCTAATTCATTTGAGTACGCACAACACACCAGACGGTAAAAACAAAAGCAAAATATTGTGTTTATAAAAAAGAATTTAAAAAAAACATAATTAAAACACAAACACGTTCTTTCTTTGAGTGGCATTGCAAGCCACGCACGCAGGGTACTAGCTAGTTTTGAATAAAAAAAACAAGACGGCACATTTGTTGTGAACTATTCACTCACGATGTCACAATTATACAACCACGACTCCAATAATGGATGCTAGCAAGTGAGTCTACCAAGTTTTTTGTGTGTTTTTTTAATGTTTCATATTATCCTGAACCGTTTATTGAGAATGCGTATGACTGACATTGACTGACATAGTAAAATATGCGTCCTGCTGGTGGACAATGCATTATTTTTATTTGATAAATGCCGTCAAACTTAAATGAGCCATACATGTTGAAGATTTTTTTTAAAAAAAAAGAACATTTAATGCATCTTGATATTTTTAAAAGAATATTACACTTTATGTTTTGACGTCTCGCGATTCGTCATGTTTTTTGTTTTCTTTCTTTTTTTAAAAAGGTTTAATTTTTTATTTGTTAAAGTTGTTTGTTTTTTTTTAGTTGGTACTGGGTTGTTTTATTTTTATTTATTTTTTTTGGGGGGGGGGGTGGTTGAGTAAGGCCTATTTGAAAAAAATTAACTTTGACTACAACCTTATTTAATACTGATACCACTGTCCACTGACATTCTGAGTTCATGGGATATTCAACACCATAGCCTGAAACACAATAATAAGAATACCCTTGACGTTACTTTGCTACTGATGATTCGTGCAGTATAATCAATGATGTGATTTCAAATTTCAAATATTGAAGAGTTAATTGATTCGTTATTCCATTCATTTCTATTTATTGTCCCGTCTTTTCATTTCTTACATTAAACCAGCGGTTCTCAACCTGTGGATCGCAACCCCGGGGGGGTGGGGTAGGGGGTTCGAACAACCTTTACACAACGATCGCCTAAGAACATCGGAACGGAAAATTTATGGTTGGGGGGTCACCACAACAGGAGGAATAGTATTAAAAGGTCGCAGAGTTAGGAAGGTTGAGAACCACTGCTTTTAAAATATATTTTTCTATATTAATATCCTTAATTCAAGAAATAAAAGAAAAACAGTAGATAAAAATTCATTCAATCTTAAACGTCCCCAAATTCCCTTAAAGCATTTGAAAGAAGAAAAAAAATATATATTTCTAAAGAAGACTAAAACAAGAAAAGACTCGATATCTATTCTGATCCTAAGAAGCAAACCATTTTAAACGCGTTTTTTTAAATTTTATTACAATTAAATATTTTAAAAAATATATATTTAATTAATGTCAACGGAACTTTCTTCTGTTAAATAATAGCCATAGAGTATAAAAAAATTAGTTGAAATTGAAAAAGAAAGCAAAATACATATGTGCCTGCTTTTGAATTTCATTGAAAATAACCACACACAAAAAAATAAAAAAATAAAAAAAAAATAAAAATAACAATTGCTATTTCTTATCTGAAACTAAAATTGTCATCTTCTGATTCATGTGAAGCACCTCACCCGGACTTTTGATGGTGACCTCCGGCTGGTCAAGTCTCAACAAATGTAGCCCACCGCACTGAACTCTGGCCTGGATTAGTTGCGAGCATCTTGTGACCAGCAGAACTTTATCAAAAGAAAAAAAAAATAAAGAATTACTTCAGAGTAAACAGGACTGACCTAATTTTATAATTTTTGGGGGGTTATAGAACTTCCAACAGATTAAGTTCGAATAGAGAAGATCGACAAACCCGGATACAGCAGATGTTAGTAAAAGCTACTGTAATGAAGCCCGGCTCATTTTTCTCTTATACTTATAGTCACTAAGAGCGCCGGGGTCAGTGACTTTTTAATGGATCTGAATTTTTTAAATTTTTTTTTTGCTCGACCTTGTGACCTACTTAATTTGTTTTACAAAAAAATAATAATTTACTTGCTAAACTTTGGCGATAAAGTAATAGTTGTCAATACATCTGGTTTGATGTCCCTCAGTATTCCAACGAGAGGCGTTGACCTACTTACACATGAAAGTATGAATGCCTCATATACTAATAAGTTTTCACGGCATCCGTGTGCAGAATCAGTTTAGTGGAAGATGAAACAAACCTCACAATATCAGAACATGAAGCTCAGGTATATGATTCATGACGGCAAACTTTAGAGCTGTTGTTTTGTGTGTTTTTTTCCCCTTCGAAATAGAAATTAAATGAGAAATATCAAACTTATTTTTTAAAGAATTTTTTGGACAGATGATTGCCGACAAAAAAAATTACAAGAGTTCCGTTTCGGAACATGACGGCTTTTAAAGATCCAAAATATGAGTCAGTGTACGACAAGGATTAGCTATCTAAAAGCATGTCTTGTGTCAGTATGGGACAAGCATTAGCTATCTAAAATTATGTCTTGTGTCAGCAGAGGCGTAGCGTGGTGGGGGCAGGGGGGACAGATGTCCCCGGGCGCCAGCTAGTTAGGGGCGCCAAAATGTGCTTTGATATTATTTTATTGATGAAAATAATGGGTTTGAGAGTTGAAAAAAAGAAAAAGGGGCGCTAAAAATGGATCTTGTCCCCGGGCGCGAATCTTGTCCCCGGGCGCCAAACCCCCTCGCTACGCCACTGTGTGTCAGTATGGGACAAGCATTAGCTATCTAAAAAACATGTCTTGTGTCAGTATGGGACAAGGATTAGCTATCTAAAAACATGTATTGTGTCAGTATGGGACAAGCATTAGCTATCTAAAAACATGTATTGAATCAGCATGAGATAAGGGTTTACTATCTAAAAACATGTCTTGAGTCAGTATGGGAAAGGGCTTTGCTATCTAAAACATGTCTTGACTCAGTACGGGAAAATGGTTAGCTATCTATTAGCATGTGTTGAGTCGGTATGGAACAAGGGTTTGCTATCTAGTAACATGTCATTTTTACACGGCCAGCTTAATTGTGCCTATAATCTAATGCAGGAAACATCCACATTAGAACTATGGTACTTTTAGTTTATTTCCATGTTGATATGTTTTTAATTTCTTCGTTAACCTTTGAACTGGGCAACCACTCGAACGTGTATTTTCTAAGCTATGCAGGAAAGGGGGCGCGGAGGGAACTGTCCGCCCCGGATGGCACTCACCCTAGCTACGCCATTGCTCTTCAGTCCTCTTTGCCCTCTGAATAAAATAATTAGAAGTGATTTTGGGAATCTCTCAATTCTGATGAATCTCTAAAACCATTTCTGCATTGCATCCTTTCTTATCGGGGCTGTCATCCATCGTGCCTCTAATTTTACATCAGTCGTGTAAATTCTTTGAACACAGTCAGGGGCGTAGCCAGGTTAAGTGCTAGAGAATTTTTTTACGTCTCCCTTCAAATAAAAAAATATCTCCATACAGAGAGAAAAAAAGTGCCGCCCAGGGCGAGCCACCGACTCCGCACCCGTCTTCCTACGCCACTGAATGCGGAAAATGAAGACACCCTTGCCATCCCACAAACCCCAGTCTGATTTGTGGTGATTTGGGCGTACGTGGGTGGCACACATGAAGTTGGTGTCAAACATTTTCTGTTTATTCTCCGCGGTGCAATAAGCCTCCAGCTCAATTTTTTTATCTCTATTGTTTGCACATGCAAACCTGAGGGATGAGACAACATCACGGCTTCTCACTCGGCCGCAGCGAAATGGAAGAGGCGGGCCACATGAATAAAAGCGGGGCGTGAAGAAGTGCTCATGATCATACGGGGGGTGCTGGGGGTGCAAGGAGTATATCTCGATTTAATTACGCCACAGAAAGCAACAATAAACACAATTTTCAGATAAAATTGAGAAATTAATTTTTGAAATGGTTTGTTTATGACGTCAAATCAGTTTGAAAAATAGCTTTCACATTATTTGATTGTTTGTTTGTTGTTGTTGTTCTTTAAAATGTGCATCATCGCGTCCATTTGATTTTTTTGTTGGTGGGTGGGGAGTTGGTCAAACTTATCTCAAGATTTTTTTGTGTAAAAAGTGCATTTGTACAACAAAATATTTAGAAAATACAAGGGACAATACATATCGTACGTCCGCACTATGAAAAAAGAAGGGGGTGGCTGTGGATTTTGGATATTTTGGTTACGTTTGCGAATCAACCGGGGGTGGGGCGGGAGTGGGGGGGGGGGGTCAAGGCTGCGGGTGTTTAACATTTC